ATTTATGATTATATCAAATTTAGTATTTTATTTATGAAATATTGTGTATATTTTTTATATTTTAAGTCAATAAAAAAAATTCATAATTTCACTTTATAAATTGCCTGTTATTACTGTAAAATTTAACCTATAATTCCTAAAATATGGCCTAAAAAAATTTGGCTCAAAAATCACACAATAATTGTATAAATTCAGGTCAAAAATAGGATAATTATTGAATGAATTACCATGCAATAATTGTGTGATTTATTGCAATTTTTAGCACAATTATTGTATGGTCAAATATACAGAAATCGTAGTGAATTTAATTGAATGATTTTCAACAAAAATCACACAGACTTTTTTCATAGGGGTAGAGTTAGTTTACAAATATTTCAGTCAATTTAAGGCCTAGTAGAAGACTAATTATTACAAAGATATTGCATTTAAGACTTTACCATTTAGGATAATTATTTAGGCCATATTGGATTTTAAGTGATATTATTGAATAACCATTCAAATAAGAAGTTCTTTTTAAGGTATAGAAGTAGTTTTAAGAATAGAATAATGAATTTACCAAAAGATATCATAATCATTTGTTGAAATACAGCTTAATTGTATATTATACATATTATCCAAATTATTTTAGGCTGCATAATTATAAGTAAAATTTCAAATTCAGCAAATTATTTTGGCACTTTATATAATAAATTATATATAAACTAAATGAATTATTCAAACTTTTTTTTTTTTATTAACTTTGATTTAAAGTATTTCAAATTATAATTATGCCATTCTAAAATAATTTGAACAGCATATATATTGTATATACATAATGCAATTCAATTTACACTAAACTTTGTACTTTATGCTATTTGTAGTAACATTTGCAGTAAAATTCTTTTAATTTCTGTGATTAGCAGAATTAAATCTGTGACTTTACTATAATCAAATGATATGAAGGAGTGTTACCTTAACAACTGCACTTAACTCTTAAACTTTTTATAATAAAATATTACTTTTAATTTAATATTTATATTTAAGTAAATTAGATTTCTATAATTATGCAAAATCTATTTAATAAAAGTATTACAAATGTATTAAAAAAATACTATTTTTGTAAAAAAAAAATATTTAATTTATTTTAAAGAATTTTTCTAACTATCATCGGGGGTGATGATAACCGGTGACTGAAATTATGACGATCGACTAGCATTAAAAAAATATAGTGCCGGTAATTCTGGCCAACGGTGATGCCGGTGATTTGAAGTAAAAAACTATTTTAAAATTATTAAGACATAAAATTAAATTGAAACCCCAAAATTTGATTTGATTATCTTAATCTTGAAAAAATTGAATTTGAATCACTAAGGTTGAATTCACGTGTAATAACCGAACTGATCTGTGCGACATAAAATATATCCCATAAACACGTTTGTAAACGTTGTCATATGAGACAGTCATGCTAGCGGATATGATACTGAGAAACTGATAAATTTCTTGCGTAAAGGTTGAAACAAAACAAAGGAAGACGTTTACAAAGGGTTCACCAAGTCTAAACCAACACAGAAAAAACTAACCAAGCGTTATACTGAAACAAAAAAAGGAAGACGTTTACAAAAGGCTTCACCACGCGAAGGAGACTTGAAACTTGACGGGAGTGACAAAAATATCATTCGCAAGTAAAAACTCTTCTCAAAGTCAATCAAAGAAAAGCTTCGTAGTATCGGTTTAAGTTTGGAACCTGTGTCAGATCTTGCTGACTTCGACAAGGAGTGTAAGGATAAGAATTTGAAGGCCTTCTCGTCATGCACAGTTTGAAGCGAAATACGGTATTGACTCCAATGGCATAGACATCATCCCATTATTTTCTCTACAAACCCACGAAATTCAAGATGCAAGCATTTCGAGCATTACATGGAGAATATTTTGTTCAGGATGAAACATTGGTTGTGGATAGCTTTGAATCTATGCGTAATGAGTAAGTTTGACCATACTTCACACAGACCTCCATGTTGCGGGAGATGCGAGTAGGGAATTCTGAATACGAAATTGGTGATGGAAGTTGCGGGTGAATCGATTATGCAATCAAGGTAACTTTTCTTCACTAAAGTTTCGCGCAATAGTAGTAGATGGATAGCATCGTGGCTTGCTTGTTTCGATATGTACGAGAAAGACGCTAATGGTATACTTCCCTTTCAGGAGGCTGAAAACCTTTTTTGTGTCACAGAATACAAGGACCAGCGTAACAGGTTAATATATTAATTATTATGTATTACTGATGATGATCAAGTTTATGCTGAAAAAAGAACCCTTTTATTTTGTTTCTTAGAATATAAAACAACTCGAGAGTTCATACGAAACGAACAAGAAAAAAACGAAAACGGATTGACCGTGACATCTGCCAGTGATTGGTATTTCTCCGAGTGAGGTCTCGCTGGCGAGTGAAGTTCCCGTTATCATCGAATTTAACAAGAAGGCCTTGGACAAAAGCCTTATCGATCGTTGCGTAGTGCTGTGAAAATAATCGTTGGGCTATTGAAGATAGGGCATGTGCGGAAGACTCAAAGAAAAAAGCCAGAATAGAGAATGATTTCGTTCGAGACGAGCATAATCCACAGTTTTTATTATATCACCAAATTTTTGTGTTACCCAACGCTATAACATAAAAAAAAATATTTTACACGGCTCTCATAACCTAAAACTTATGGTATCACTTCGAGGCGTGAGAGTCTTCACATTTACCACATGACATCAGGCCAACATCTGTATTGTAGACTACAAATCTAATTTTTCCGAAAGGCTCTAGTATAGAATTATTTGCGCGGGTTAAATCGATGTCCCTTTGTTAATCGGGATTAACATCAAAGATTGATTCCAAAATCGATCCTTAGACCCATTGCAAATTATATAAAAAGATAAGGCCTTGATTACTGAACTATTTTATCCGTTTTGTGCAAACAAAAATAAAACGAAAAATCAAAATTTGCCTTTACATAATCAATACATCAACGATCAAGACTGTTAAATAAGATAGACCGATGAGTCTTTAAACGAAAATATATGTATGAAGATGCCTGATAATGCATACAGACCAATTCTATTTCTTTTTACATATGCTAATCGTCCTGCTTTCCGGTATATAGATGCCCATGATCAAAGTTTTCAGCATTTTACTATTCTTAACATTTACCGGGAAATCTTTAGTTAAAGAGAAGTTGATACTGTATTGTAGGACGGTTTATACGATAACTAATATTCTAATAAACTTGATCGTATCATCAGATCGGGCATGTGTCACCCAAAATTTTTTATCACTGAATTACTCCGAATTCATTACTACCACATAATTCAGCATTAGAAAATAGAGAATTGTATTTTATATTATGAGTACATTCTATAATAAACTTTACAGATCTAAATAAAGATCCCGCTTTTTTGAGATATCTTAAAAATTTTGGGAAAATTACAGAATCTTCTATAACTTTATTATAATACTTGAAGCACAATTTTCTCTTTATCTATTTCATTAATATCAATTAAAGCAAATTTCATGAAGAATTTAATATATCATAATTTTGATTAACAATTATATCATTCTTAAGTTTTTCAATTTTAGTTTTAATCTTAGCAAAACAGTATTTTATTATATTATCAGTTAAAGCCTTCTCATCTTTTCTCAGATATTCCTGGATTTTGTCAATTATATTCAACATCTTCCTTAAGTCAAACAGTATTTTTGAAATAAAAACTTAGGTAAAATTTCCAATCTTATTACAACTACTTTTTTATTTTTTACAAGTATTATTACTATTTACCAGATTGTAAGAAAATTTTTCAAAATTCATTATACTAATGATTTCATTACTTGTTTTATTAGCAATAAGTTAATATTTTTAGTACTAATACATTTTTTACTATATGATTCTTTCTTTGCTTTTTCATTTACTCTTTCTTTATTTACTCTTTATTTTCTTTTCATTTTACTTGTTTTTACTATTTTACTATATAATAGTTTTATTAGGTTTATTATAACTTTATTTTTAGTTAAGATTATTTAAATTATTATAATTAATTTTATATTTATGCATTATTTATTTTTATCTCATAATTTCTAATCAATTTCTATGACTTTTTTTACTGATATTTTCACGGTAACTAATCAACATGTTTATATCACATAATAAATTATACTTTTTTGTTAAACTTATTATTATATATTAAAGATAAAAAATAATATTATATTATTTGCATTTGTACATAAAAAATTATAAAATTGAAACTATTTTTGTATGTAAAAAGAAGCATTTGAAAAAGACAAATTTAAAATAAAGGTATTTCATTTTCTAAGTAATTTGAAAACAAAGAAAAGGAATACATGATCTTGTAATTTCAACATTATCATTAATTGAATTATCTTGTAAGAATGAATTATTTTATTTAGAAAATAATTTATCATTAGTAATATTAATTAATATCTTTAAAATATTAAATTATTACTCTCCATTAGTAATTGTTTTATAAGTTTGCACTTCTTAAACACTTTTATGCCAAGTAAGTTGTATAATTGCTTATTTAGGAATTTTTTTATTTTGTAAAATTTGAGTAGTAGTTTTACATTCAAAATAATTAGAAAGTAATTTAACAGAAATATCAATTTGAATTTCACGTCTAATATTTTGCATAAATTTATTCAATCTATTTTTTTACATAAGATGTTCTATACTAAATTCCATTTTCTAGCCAAGATGAATTAAATTACAAATAAAAATTATTATTAACTAAATCTGAATATTTAGATAAATAATATTTAATATCTGTGCAGGGTCTACTATTATCAGCAGATATTGAAATAATTTGGGCTTTACCTTTTTAAATTTTATGTTAATTATTTTTGAATATATAAACAAAAAAATTGCAAATCATCATGTCCATCTGATTTAAATTGATTGATTTTTAGGTCATAATGTTTTTCTTCACATATAACAAGTATTATTGATTATAATTGAAAAAAGTTATGATACAAAAGACCTTCAAAATTACTTGCATTCATTTTAGAATGTTGTAAAATTTGAAGAATTTGCTAAGAATTGATGGCAACTAAATCTGATATTTTACTAAAACTATATTTTTGAAGATTATGTATTTTTCCATGTAAAATGTTATGTAAATCTGAAAATATATATTTATCATACAAATTAATTTGTAGAATGAGTGAATGGCAAACAAGGTATTTATTAAGTGCATCAACAGCTTGCTTAATTAATGTTGCTTTATATTCACAACTATCATTCCTTTTTATAATAAAAATATATTTCACAAGTTATTATTAAAGCAGAGAAACATCATCAAGTTTACTTAAAGAAACTGAATAATTAGCACAAATGCAGAATTCTTCAAAATTTGTAATCCAATTTTTAGTTGATTTTTCAGTATTTCTTACTTTTATTTTTTTACAATAATAAAAAGTCTTAACTTGTGCATTATCTCTGTCTAAATTTAAGAAAACTGCAGGTTAAAAACTTGGAAATTTGTGTAAAGCTTTTTTATTTTTTTTAACTATTATAATTTGAATAAGTGAAATAAAGAAAAAAGTAGTAAAATTTAATAATAGTTAGTAAAATACTATTTATAATAGTCAAAAATAAACTATAAAATTAGTAGTCAAAATAAACTATTAATAAACTTATAAGAATATAGAATAGAATTATGGAATAAATTAGTTATTTTATAGTTACCACATGTTAAATGACCAAAAACAGGCAAAAAAAATGGCTAGAATTGCATAAACTATTCACAAATTTATATAAACTATTAGAATAGCCAAGAATAGCCACTGCTTTTCGTGCCATTTTTTTTGCCGATTTTTAGCATTTCGACCTGTGTACTAAAATATTATGATTTTTACGGTTATACTATAAAAATTAGTTTTATTTATTTCTAATAGAAATTATAATAATTGTAAAGTAAAATTTATATATAAAAATTTTAAAAATTATTATAAATAAATTATACATAAAAAAATATATTATTTAAATTAACCACAATAAAAAATAAAATAAATTTATATATAAATATTAAAAATTTATGGTAACTAAACTTATATAATTTTAATATCTAATACATAATTTTTTTTTTTAATGTTTTATTAATCTGATACTAATCTGATATATAATTTTTATTTAATATATGATTTATTAAGGACTCTGAATAATACTAATATAACTCACAAGTAAACTTTAAGTATCAAAGTAAAAATACATTTTATGACATAATTCTATCAATATTGAAATTAGGAATGCAATTTTACTATCATTCTCATTAAAATGGATCCAATAATATAAATTTTATTACAATCGAATTTAATACTAGTTGTATTAAAAACAAGGGTATATAGGATAACGAAATTTTGAAAATACTCCTGTAATATGTAACTTTTGAAAAATTTTAATATAAACTCTAATGTAAGTTGTATTAGTATTATTCAGAGTCCTATTTATTATAACTATTTTAATTATAAAAAATCTTTAATTAATTTTTTAATAAATTTATATATAGATATAGATAAATAAATTATATTTAATTGAAAATAAATAACTAATAAGTAAAAAATATGTTTAGATTATTTATTGATTTTTTAATTTAATTATATAAATAATAATTACACAGTGAAATTTGATATAACAAAACTGAACTGGCCTTATACCAGAACTTTTTTTGGATTAAATTACATTTATTAAAATAAGTTTGATATAATGGAATTTATTAGTAAAATTTTGATAATAGTTATAATAGAACAAATAACAGATCAGTTATAATAAAAATGGTTTGATATACTAGAACATATAACGATTTACATTTTAAACCAATAAAATTACAGTATTTCATATGATACAGATAATTTCCTTTTTTTTGAGCAATATGATAATTTTTTTTTATTACAATTTTCTTTATATAAAATAAAATAAAGATAGAAAAAGTTAATAAAAAACTAAAAAAGAAAAAACTTTGACTTTTAATCAAAAAAAAAAACTCTATAAAAAACATTGAAATCAAAATCTTAATAGTGTTCAATTGGCAAAAAAATATGAAATTTCTGATAGTGCAGTATTTAACATTTTAAAAAAGTTTGAATATTAGCTCTCTATCAATTTTACCTTGCCAAATGCAAATAGATTTTATGAAAAAACTTGTAATTATCTACAGATAGAAGAGGCATTTAGCATCTGGATAAATCAGTAAATTTCAAAAGATTTAACTTTAAGTAGAAATTTGGCACATTATTTAATATTGATAATTTTTAGCATCAAAAAGGATAGTTGTATAATTTAAATACAGAAATAATCTTCATACGTTTAAAATTAAGAAAGAAATTAGAAGTATGCCAATTAGTGAAATTTTACAAATGAAAGCTGAATTGCAAGAAATTCTTTAAAAGTATGAATTGAAAGATATTTGAAATTGTAATAAAACTATTCTTTTTTGATGTTTATTACCATGTAAAATAATAGCATATTTGCCAATAATTGGCAAAAAATGTCCTAAAAAACGAGTTAGTATATTAGCAGCATGCAATGCATTTGGTAATAAAAAATTACCTTTACTTTTTATTTATAAGTATGAGATACCATATGTATTAAAAGAAATTGAAAAGAAATTTCTTTCTATTTGGTATTACTGAAATTCAAAAGTATGGATGCAAAGAAGTATTTTTAAATACTTTTTTGAAAGATTAAATTCAAAATGAATAGAGAAAGATGCTATATTATTTTATTAATAAATAATTCTAAATATCATAATTGTGATAATATTAGTAATCTATCAAATATTAAAATTTATTTTTTACTTCCAAATACAACTTTCCATTTTCAACCTTTAGATTAAGATATTATTTATAGCTTAAAAGCATAATACTGTAAATTGTTGTGTAAAAATTAGATTTAGGCTTATGATTTATATAAAGATTAAACTTCATCTTCTGTTGATATTCTTGACTCTATTGACTTAATTGCTTAGACTTGGAAAATAGTAACTAAAAAAACAATTATTAATAGTTAAGCTAAAGTTGAAATTCTTCATCTAATGCTTCTAATGGTGATGATAGTGAAGTTGAAGATGATATTGAAGATTTACAATTATTAATTAATGAATTACCACCAATTATAGATCCTTTAAATATAAAAGAATATATCAATATTGATGATGAATTAATTACTGAAGAAAAATTAACATTAGAGGAGATTGTCAATATGATTAGAGGTCAAAATGCAGCAGAAGAATATGTAGAGGAAGAAACTATTATTACTTCTAATGCATTGAATAGCATTGAAAATTAATTAGATATATTTGGCAAATGATTTAAATATTGATAATTCAGATATGTAAAATTTGTTTAAATTGAAGAAAAAAATTATTTCAGATAGTAAGAAAAAGCAAAAACAGGGTAAAATAGATGATTTTTTTTTAGGTTTTAGTTAATTACAGTATCTCAAATAATGTTTTAAATAAAAATAATCAAAATTTTCAATGTTCATCAATCATCACATATGTTGCACAAATAAAAACTTGATATAATGTATAAAATCTGGTATATCAAAAATTTTTTGAATATCAGAAGTCTCGATATACTGGATATTTTTACTAAAACAGATGGTTCCGTTATATTGAATTTCACTGTATATATTATAAAATTTTAAAATCTAATTTTTTTAATTTAAAGTTACTTTTACTAATAAAGGTTTTCAATTATACCAATTATAAAGAATTATATAATTATTAGTACCTTTTTATTTGATTTATAATAAATATTTGAAATACTATATATATATTTTAATAATACTTTTTTAATAAAATAAGTAAAATTCTTATATATAATATATATATAATATTAAATACCAATTAAAAAAGATAATTATTATTAGAAATTTATTATTAGTAGTATATACTTATTAAGAAATGTCTTTCTAAATATAAACTTACTTTTTCCTATACCATATAAGTATTAGTTTTCTTATTGAAGACAATCCCTTAAAAATTTTTTTATTATTAAATAAAATACATAATAAGTAATAAAAAGAGAAAAAAGGGAATAAAATAAAGAAATTTTTACATTAAAAAAAAAAATTTTTTTCTTCTTTCTGGAATTTTTCAAATTATTTTTTCTTTTCATCAATATTTACATGAATTTTAGATTGAAATTTTTTATTAAAAATTCCATTACAGAAGATTCCATTACGGAAGATTCCATTACGAAAGATTTTTTTTGATAGATAATAAAATCTAAAAATAGAACCCAAACTACATTGTGCTACGGTATTATCTTCGTAAGAATAATGACTCCATTTATCTTCATAATCTTCAATCTTTTTCAAATAATTACATAAATAATTTAATTCAATATCAAATCTCAAAGGAGAAAAAATCATCATATTCTCATTTTTAATAATTTCAAAAATAAAATTCCATTTCAAATTTTTATCAAAGATTTTATAATCGGTTCTAATTTCTAAATTAGGATATAGTATTTGTGAAATATCCAATTCTATTGAATTTTTTGATGATGATGATGATAATTTAATTGATTTTATAAGAAGTGAAGAATAAGAATTTTTAAATATCGAAGAAATTGGATAAAAGAAAGCTCGATTATTTTGTGTACCGATAAATTTTAATATTAATTCATTCAAATTTCCTAAAAAAAAAAAATATATACATATAAAGTTAGAAAATTTATCGAATTTTAAGTTTAAAAAATAAAATAAAAAATACCTTCATTCTCAAATTCTATTTTGACGTAAAAATTTTTAAAATTCATCGTAATTTTTTAAAACAATGAATACAAAAATTATGGAAAGGAAATTTACATTCCTTTTTATATAAAAAAAAAAAAGTCGATGTATTATCTCATTATTTCATAATTCTGGGAGTCTGGACTGTGCAACAAACTACAGCAACTGCAGCGTGGGAAGCTCGTGAACTTTGGTCAGTTTATGGGTACACAAAAATTTTTTAGCGAATTGTAGATCATAAAGAAAGCCATAGGGCACCAATTCCATCACGATTAATAATCTATAATAATCAAGTTTTTTGATCTTTGACAGATGAAATTAGGGAATTCATGGAATTCATGATCTCAATCAAATGATTATTATTATATTGGTTACATAATTTTGAATAACAAGGATACGCTTGCATGGAGCATCAATTTATGCTTATGGAGGATCTTTAAACCTACATACAGAGATACAGAGATCTTCAAATAAGAGATCAGTCCTTTTTTAAGAAATTCCGTTTATTAACAAAGGAATCGGGTGACTTGGATCCAATAACTATAAACATTATTAAACATAAATTAAACATAATTTGCGAAAAGAAATTTTGTAAATCCGGAATATTTTACTAAATCAAATTATGATTAACATGATTAAACATCGTTTTGTTTATTATTAAATGAATGATTATATACTGTATTAATACAAAAATTTTCTTTTTAATTCAAATAAAAGATCATATCCATTGAAACTTTTTAAAGAAAATGAAGAAAACGTAATATCATTTAAAATTAAGGAATTCAAACTAATTAAAATAATTGAAATATGATTAATAAAATCAGATAAAATGATCTCATTTAAACTATTAATATTAATTTCATAAATTCTAATTAATTTCAATTTCTTACAATTATCAAATAATGGATAAAGTAAATTAAACATATCACCTTCTTGTATTGAAATAATAAAAGTTGAAAGATTTAAACAAAATTTTGAAATTGTTATTAAAAGATTAGGATTAATTTTTAAATCTAAACCCAAATGAAGATAATTTAATAAAGAACCATTATTTTTAATAAAAGGAGAAATTTCAAAAGAAGTTTGTTGAAAAATGTTCATTAATCTCAAATCTTTTAAATTAAAAAATTTGGAATTAATTAATAAAGGATCCACTATTTCATCCCCAATTCTTATACCATCTAATATTAATTCTTTTAAATTTATACATTGTGATAAATAATTTGCTTCATCAGATTTAAGATTTCTATGAGAAATTAATTCAAGTTTTTGTAATGAAATTGATTTTTTTGATATTGCTTCAAATACCAATGACATATCAGCATTATATTCATTTCTTATACTAAGAGAATTAAGATTTTCTTGAGAATTTATTAATTCAACCAATTCTTTTAATTTACTATCATCAAATAAATTATTATTTGATATTGTAACTGATAATGAAGTAATATTTCTTATATTATTGGAAAATTTAAGGAATATTATAGGATCAATATTTGATTGATGACAATTAAATGTGGTTAAATTATTAAAACATTTCCTTAAATCATTTTTTAATAAATATTCCTCAATATAATTTTCTAAAAAATAATATTTCTTATTATTTGAATAATAATTTCCAATATGTAAATGTTCAATATTTGTACATTTTTCCATTATAACATATATAATTGGTTGAATTATTAAGTTAAATTGTTCTTTTAAGGATGAATTTGTTAAATTTGTTTTAAATATTTTTTTTAATAAATTAATTTTATTTTTATATGAAATAAAAGTTTTTTTATTATTATTATTATTATTATTATTATTATTACGATATTTTTTCTTTTTTTTGGTTGAATAATTTCTTGTTATCCATTCTAAAGTAATTTTTGCCAGATTATCTGAATTTAGATTTTTAAGGAAACTAGGATAATTAAAAGATGATGCGATAGTTTGATAAATATTTTTTTGATTTATATCATAAAAATAAAGAAAGATTGATATTAATTTATATCGATTTTTAAAATTATCAGGTATATTAAAAGGTTGTTTCCAAAGAAATATGATACTATTACGACACCATTGTCGACTTATTAATGTAATATAATAAAATGTTTTATAATCATCTTTATTGACGTATTTCAAAATGTTTTGTATACATTCGTTGGGTAATTTTATCATCTTTTATTTGACTGACTGACTGACTGACTGGTTGACTGACTGGCGTAGGAGAAATTTTATATAAAAAAAGGGTGGAAAAAAAAAAAAAAAGAATATGTAAGAAATTTAATTTATTTATATCTCAGTTTCAAAAATATGCAAAATTATTAAAATGTACGTGGTTAAATCAAATAAATCGAACAAATCAAATCACGGATTTTCCTGTGATTTCCCATACATTTATTTAACCTAGTCCTTTTTAACAATTCAATAACGATTCAAATGACGACCTAAATTGGGGTTAAATCTCAATTTACTAATTACTTTCTTTTTTTGTTTTTTTTTTGTTATTATATACATTAAAAACATTTTTTTTTCTCTCTCTCTTGTTTTTCCTTTTAATTTTACAATTTATCAATATAATAAGATATCTTAACTTCTTAACTCCCCATAAAAAAAATACGTGACCTCACGTCATCATCCAATGATATATCCCTGCTGACCCTGCATCCCGTTTACATGGTTTACATGGTTTTACATGGTTTTACATGGTTTTCATGCTACTTCTGCTTCTCATCCCTTTACTACTTATTACTATGATCAAAATAGTGTTCATTATAATCCTTAGTTACACAAGGTCTTTTGGGAATAAAAGTAATATTTTATTTGGTTCACAAAAATTCAACTAAAATAATTAAAATAATGATAATAATGATACCATTATTTTACGTAACTATAACCTTCCAAATTTATGTTCATTATAAAAAAAAATCTTTTCCCATTTTTCCCATCCAAATGATGACGGGAAAATCACTGTAAAAATGCGGTCAACATGTGATTCATTATTTTTTAGCGACCAAATGTCTCGATCAAGGTAAAACTTTAATTTGTTTCAACAAATGTAACAAATGTACCGAACCTTTTGAACTGAACAAAAAAGTTCAATGATATTACAATGAAATTTTTTGTATTTAGGATCAAAAAAATTTCATGTGTCGTTATGATTGATTATTCATTGTTAGTTTAAATTAAAAACAACAGCCTTCAAGTGTGTTTAAGTGTGTATTTTGAGTAACGGTAAATAAGTAACATAACTGGTCGATCCTAAAGTCGTATAAGGGAGAATTTTTTTTTTTTTTTTAAAGTTTTAAAATAAAATTTTAAAAAATTATTATTTTTTTCTCAAATATTTTTAAATTATAAAACATGTCATATCATTTATTACAAAAACTTTCGCGTGATCTTAATAAAATTTTTGAGACAAAAGCTTATTATGATGTTATTATACGTGTAGGAGATAATACTGAAACAAAAGAATTTCAAGCTCACTCTCTTATTCTTCGAGCAAGAGTACCTTATTTTCATCAGTATTTACAAAGTGACCAAGCAAAACAAGAATATGATAAAATTGTAATTACAAATCATACTATTTCTCCCGCAATTTTTGAAATTATTCTAAAGTATGTTTTATTGTTTATTGTTTATTGTTTATTTTATTTTATTTTTACGCGTAATTTATATTTTCTCTTCTTCATTTTTAAAGATATATTTATACAGGTAGACTCGAATTTTTTAATTGTGTTGGAAAGCAAGCACTTGAGTTACTTTTTGCAGCGGATGATCTTGGACTTGAAGAAGCATTAGGTCAAATTCAAGAATATTTGATTTATCAACAAAAAGATTGGATGGATAAAAATTTTTATATTTATCATAGATCAATTTATAGTAGAAAATCTTTTAGTTCCTTACAAAATCATTTTACGACAAGAATTTCATCTAATCCTTTAGAAGTATTTGAATCACCTGAAAGTTTTAATCCAATGATTTTATCTTCACTTGATGAAGTTGGATGTTTGAAATTAAATGAAAATACTTGGGGTTTTATTGTTAATTGGGCAAAATTACAAATTCCTACTTTAACTACTCAAGTTACAAAATGGAATAAAAGTGATTGGGAAGAATTTAAACAAACTTTAAGTCCATGTATTCCATGGAAAAGTATTATGAATTTAAATTGGAATGAATTTTATGATCTTTTAATTTCTTGTGAACCATTTTTACCTACTGAAAAATTTAATGAAGTTTTATTACATCAATTGAAAAAGGAATGTTCTTCTAATTCTATTATAAGATCTCCTATTTCTTTTCAATTTAATGAAACTATTCTTAATATTTGTCATGCTACTTTAATTTCAAGTTGGATTGATAAAAGAGATACAAGACCTTATTTACCAGCTGATATCCCTTACGAATTTAGATTAGTTATACGTGGACGTCGTGATGGTTTCTCTCCTGATTTATTTAATTTAAAATGTGGTAATTTACAAAAGACTGTGGTTGTATTTAAATCTAATAAATCAACTGCTATTTATGGTGGTTATAATCCATTAGATTGGAAATTTGATCATGCTACTTCTGATAGTTTTATATTTCATTTTGATTCTAATGTATCCGATTTAACAAGACTTGATAGATTTGCTATTCAAAGAAGAACTGGATATGGTCCTTGTTTTGGTGCTGAAGGTTTGTTGGCTTTTCCTAATAGTAAACGTTCTATATTATGGATGTCAAACGATAATTCTGATTCTATACCTATAAGTGATTATGAAGTTTATCAAATTTTTGAAAAACCAAAAAGATCAAATATTTCAGTTTCTACCCCATCATCATCATCATCTACATATAATAAATCTAATAATAATAATTGTTACACTCATAAAAAGAGATAACCTAAGGAGGTTTAGGAGGGCATGTGTATATTATTACATTGTTATATTGTTATATTGTTATTTTGTGATCTAGAATTCATGAACGTGTATTTTTTTTTTTTTTTTGTATTTTAATAGAAAGTAAATAAATAGAGATTATTATACATAAACTAAAAAAAAATTCTAAATTATTTTTTATTGTTCAATAAAAAAAAATAATAATAATAAAATAAAATAAAATAATTACTAAATAATATATAATCATAATAAATCTTAATTTCTTATTTTTCTATTTGAGTTTAATCTCATTTTCTAAATATATTATATATATATATAAAAAAAATATAAAAAAAACGAAATATATTATTAACAAGTATAAATTATTATTTTATATAATTTAATATTTTTTTTTTTTACCTTATGATTCTTATAATTGCCATTCAATGTTAACAACTTTTTCGGAATCTTCACGTTCAATAGAACATTTTTTAACAATTCTTCCTTTACTAGAAGAAGTTTTTTCAATCATTTTTTTCAATTCTTGTTTATCACCCTTAACATTACAAATTAAATATTTAACATCATAACCTTCATAATGATCTAAGAAAACTTCAAGTGTATCCATATCTAAACAATCATATCTAAAATCCAATTTTCTTACATTTGTTGGAATAGATTTAGAAAATTCCATGATAGTCTTATGAGACATATTAGCAAATCCATCAATCCCAAATAATTCAATTTTTGAACATTTTTTTAATACATTATATATACCAGGCATATCATCATCTTCATTATAATAAGTAGTAAAAGTGAGTAAATTTTCACAATATTTTGCTACATTATTTAATAATTGAGGATGATAACTTAATTTGAATTCTAAACTTAAATCTTTTAAATGAGAACCATTATTCCTTATCAAACCTACAAATGGATCATTATCTTGTTGTAATTTACTATTTTCCCTATTATGATTAATAAAAGTACTATATATTCTAAGTACTTTTAATTTTGTAAAGATAACATTTGATAATAATGTCATCTTACCATCTAATCTAACACATGTAAACATTAATTCTTGAAGATTATGAAGTTTTGTAATATATTCAAGTTGTTTATCATTAATAATAACATAATGTAATTTTAATTTTTTAAGGGATTTTGCTTGTGAGACGAGGGATGATAGATCGATCGTAATGTTATTACATTTATGATCTTTAAAAATATTAATTTGTTCTAAAGAATCTTGTGATTCAATAAGGTTTGATAATTCTGTTAAGTGACCATCACGAAATACATGTCTAAATATTTGTATAGATAAAGTTTTAATCTTTTTTGAAATAAAAGCAAGGTCATGTAAAGCTGAAATATTTGTTGCTGCTAAATTACAATCAAATCTTGATAATCTTGCTAAAGCGTTACGAGCATTAGGTGTTGACGTTAAAGCATCAAAGATAAATTCATTATAAATTGGATAGTGCCAATCTTTCATTGATAATGTTAACCTTTCCAATCTACTTCTTTGTAAAATTACTTCATAAAGAGCTTTTACAACTTCTGCTTTTTTTTGTTGAGATGAATTATATTCATCTTGAAGACTTAGAGAAGAATTTCTTTTTCGTTGTACTGATTTAAAATCATCTTGAAGAGGATATAATTCATTATTTGTAATATAATTATCCGAAGTACGAGGATAACATCTAAAAACTTGTTTCCATAAATTAACAAAATCCAAATGTCTTATAAAAGAAGGATAATCAAAAGTTGTTTGCTTTGGTACCGGAAGGTCTTTTTCTTTAATCTTGAATTGTTTCATTTTATCATCATCAATAAATGATGCTAAAATTGGAATAATCTTGTAATTATTTTGTGAATCAGATGGTGGTGAGTTGAATGGTTTCTTCCAGAGAAACGAAACTGTATTTCGACACCAAGTCCGATTCACCAATAACGCGGAATGTAATGTCTTGTTATCTTTTTCTTCCACATATTTTAAAATATCTTGAATACATTCGTTTGGTAAATAAAAGGGTGACATTATTTTTAAGTGTGATTGTTTTTATATTAAGAGAAAAAACTGCGGCGTATATGTTTTTTTTTTTTTTTGGATTAAGAAAGGTAAAAAAAAAGTTCTCGATTTACTATTTGATCCTTTTTTATATGTATCACCGATATATGGTATCACCAACCTTAGCTTTGCAAAATTTGCATTACAAAGCAAGTGACAATTTATTGATGTGATGATATACTGTAAATCCAAATTAAAAATGCATTTAAGGAATCCATAATACCATATTTAATTTTTGAATTTTCATCATAATTTTTGTCATTGATTACGAAAAAAAAACAATAATATATATATTTGGTCAAAATGGAATAAATGGAATAATAGATCATCTATTAAAATTAAACCTCTCTTAAATGAACTTCTTGTAAACCTTATCTGTGTCACGCCATGAACGATACGAAAAATGAAGTTCGTTTATGATCGTGATTTTTTTTTTTAAATAGAATCATTTATGTTAATAATCATCATATAGATTGTTTAGATTGTTAAAGCCACGTTTAAGCGTGGCGGCACGAAATTTTTTTACTTATTTTATTTTATTATTTTTAAATAAAAAATATTTCTTTTTTAGAATATTTAGAACTTTAACTTGTTTTTAAGTTATTTAAAAAGTTTTTAAAAAAATCCATACAAGAAAACAGTACATTTTCAAATCATTGGTCATGTGAAAAATTGAATATTGCAAACACGTACTTCACATACTGATAGTAATTTCTTTTCAAACTGATAGAAAATTAGTGAAACGCGTTTATATCAAAATTTAAATATACATCATATCGTAACAAATTTAAATACGATAATGTATAAAAGAAACTAACTAAAGAAAAACTTTTCATTCTCCTGATTTTTACTACGAAACCTTAATAGGGTTTATGTGTTCTAATATTGGTTAATACAATAATACAATAGATATGGAATGAATCATATGGTAAATGATAATCAATTAAAATGTTATACCGGAAAAAAAACGCGTATTTATTTAAAAAAAACTTTTTATTAATAAATTATAAGAAGTTTTAAAAAAGTTAAAAAGTTTCATTTCTTTAATGGCGTTTTTTGATGTTTTATTTTATATATATACTTTTAATTTGAATGTTGAACTAAACGTTACATGATCAGCATTGAAATAACTAAATTTGTATAATAAAAAAGGATAAAATCGAGATAGTTGATTTTATTTATTTTATTTGTCTCACTCTATCAACACTCCCCTTATTGAGCTTCATCCAATAACAAAAAGGCTGCTACGGAACAATTTTATATAATGAAAATAAATTTTATTAAATAAATAAATAAGATTAATTCTAATTAGAATCCATAATTTTTCTTATGGTTTCATTATTAAAATTAAATTAATATTATATATTCTCTTCAAAATATATAATCACATTATAATCACATTATATTATAAAAATTCTTTAGGTCTACCACCAGTACCACCAGCTTGATCATAAACTAACCCCGCAACCTTATAAGCTAATTCATCACATTCTTCTCTTGTAGCAGCTTCAGCATATACACGTACAACATCTTCAGTTCCTGATGGTCTATTACGAAAGAGGGAATTTAAATAATTAAAATTAATTTTCATATATATATATCTATAGTAGTAGATAGATCTTTTTATTGTTATCATTCATTCTTACCTAACAAAAGATCTACCATTCTTATATTTTGATACTAATTCATTAATTTGCTCTTGAAGTCCTACTGGTTCTAAAAGTTTTCGTTCGGCATCAGTAGTTTTAAATATATGCCGATTTTCAACCTAAAAAGAAAAAAAAATAAAAATTAGATTTTTTTTTTTTCAAAATATTTAATGTGATTCTTAAATATATGTTTATTATTTGTAACTTTTATAAATACTTACAATTACTTTTACTAAACGATTTGGCAAATCAGAATAAGCTTGATCCCATTTTTTTAAAGACCATTGACGATTGGTTAAAATAGTTTCTACAAGTAATAAATCTGATAAAGCATCACCAACTGTTTGATTGATTAAATCAGTTAATGCTCGTAATTTTTCGATTGCTTCTTTTTGTTCAGCTGTTTGACTTAAAAAATTAACAAATAATTAGTTTCTGTTAAGAATAGAAGAATAAAAAGAAATAAACATGGGTTTAAAAATTATTATGTTTACCCTTCAGCAGATCGAATTGTTTTTAAAGCTTTTTTGCTAAATAATACAGTTCCGTGTCCATTGGCTTCAAAATAAACACCAATATCATACTTTTCTGCCTCATGATGAAGATGTTTAACACCTGTAGGTACACAAGATACTGGTACATTCTAATTATGTATTTAAATTTAACAATTAGAATTTATAACAAAAACAAATACTGTCAACTCTCTCTAAGTGCACTCTCCCTAAATGCACGCATTATATATTTATTCCCTCTTACTCGTCCAGATAACATATAAATTTCTCTATCTAATGTACATCTTCTCTAAATGCATATTATTTCAAATTTTCATTATGGTCCCAATAGGAGTGCACTCAGAGCGAGTTGACTGTATAAATAAAAAAAAAACTGGTATTAGCATATATTAACGAAAACTTACCAAAACTTTTTCCAAGTATGTTGTGGAACTTCCATTTGCATAAGCAGTTTGAACAACTCCAACATCAATTCCTTCAAGACCTGCAGTTTTGACTAGATCGATAATAAAACCACCAGCTAATCCAGCAATTTTATCACCATCCAATAATTTAAATGTATTCTCTTTTAAATTACGAAAAAAAAAAAAATCAGTAATTTGAAAAAATAAAATAAAACAACACATTTTTAATAATAATTTACCAACCTTCATCAATGTAATAATATACGATACGATCAGCATCACCATCAAATGAAGCCGCACGATCACCTGGTTTAATATTACTTCCAGTAGGAAGTTTTTGACCAGTTTTAACAAAATCGGCACCGCACTTTGCAAACAAATAATAATTAATTATACAATCATTACAATATTTATAAAGTAGAATTTAATATAAGAGAATATTATTACCTGATAATTCAATTTGCCTTGAGTCTTATAATCATCATTAATCAATATAGCTTCTAAATATTCATTTCCAATATATTGATTAAGTTCTCTCATTTTTGGAGCTCCAACACCATTTGCCGCGTCAATATTAATTGGAGTTAGACGTTGTTTGCCTTCCTAATAAATTGACGATCAACATTAAAATTCAATCAATAGGAATGCTAAATTTAAGTATATTAACGCCAACTTACCACAGTTTTACGGTAAGCAGTTGAAAGTTTCTTATAATAACCTTCCTCCGTTGGTTCACCATAATCATCTTCAGTACCTTTAACGTTATAACAACGAGTAACATAATGAAGTTGTGGAGTTGTTTTAATACCAAAATCGATAATCTTGGCATTAAGAGATTTAAGACCATCAACAAGTGCAGAAACTAAAGCTGGCCCACTAGGTCTAGTATCCCTAGCATAAACTATATTTGCGGTTTTTGATTCATCAATGTTATTGCTAGAAATGATTTGCTTAATAACATCAACTAATTCATCTTCAGTTTGAGCATTTGCTAATTGGGTAGCATAATTTTCCCATGATTGTTCCAGCATTTCACCATAAGGATCAACAAGCTTAACACCATTATCTTGTTCTGGATTATGAGAAGCGGTAATCATGATACCAATAGTTTTGGAATCAAGTTTTTTTGAACGTAAAACTGCCAAGATACCAACTCGAAAAATCACAGAATCCAATAAATCTGCTCTAAATATAGTAAATAAAAAGAATTTAATTATTAATTGTTATTTAAATCAATCAATTATTGTTAATAATTATAAAATATAAATCATACTTCATACGAAAACCTGCAGTTCCATAAGTATAAGTGATATTTTGAGGTTTTGGATGATAAGAAGCAGCTTCTTTAATTTGATCGTAATTGATTGAATTTTCCATATTTTAAACAGATCAAATATTATACTTAATAAAATCCGGATTATAATAGAAGAAAATAAGAATTTTTAAGTTTGTTTTTTTTTACGAAGATTACAACTATTTATATATAGAAAATTTTAAATTTCTTTGTTTGGTTTTTTATAACCAAAACAAAGCAGCATATTAATTACACAAAATATTATTTGCTGCTTTTGCGTCAAATATGATTTGCATATAAACATTATGCTGATACCATATATAGAAAGGATTGGTAACACTTGAAAAATATTTTCAAATCAATCATTTCAATTTTATCAATTTTATCAATTTTATCAATCGATGGAAGAAAATTTTATTCTTCCAAATCCTGGAGAACTACTTATATATGACTTTCGCCCATTAAATCACGACTTAACATCCGAAACTATAACACCATCTAATGATAATTCTACTTTAAAAGTTTTACAATGGAACGTAGAAAGAAATTATTGTTCGGAATTAATTCTTTCCACTTTAAAGTCTCTTGACCCAGATATAGCATTAATTCAAGAAATTGATATAAATTGTAAAAGATCTTTATCCAAAAATCATTTTAAGGAAATTGCCAAAGAATTAAAATGGAAAGGAGGATTTGTTTGTGAATTTTTGGAATTAGAAAATGAGATTAGAAGTGAAAGAGATCAAGGTGGTGGTGTACACGGAAATGCTATTTTTACAAAGTATGATATTACGTTTAGAGTACTTGATCATAAATATCATCCTATGGATTGGAATAAAGATGGCGAGAAATTAAATGAACCTCGAGAGGGAAAGTAAGTTTAAATAAAGTAAATGAATGTAATAAAAGAGTTTTTTTAAAAAAATTTCATGTGATATTTTAGGAGATATACATTGGTAGCTGAAGTAAAAACTCCTTTCGGACCACCGATACTATGTTATTGTGTGCATTTAGAGGTATTTATCCAATAAGGGATTATGCCACCATTACATAATTGAAACTTTTAATAATCAATATATTATTTTAATCTTATTCATCAGGTATTTAGCGGTATAATTGGTCGTATATCACAATTTTCTGATATACTATTAGATTCCACTTCTAATATTCAAACTCATCCATATCAATTAATTTTTGGAGATTTGAATACATTGGGTCATTCTATAGCTCGTCTTTCACCAAAATTTTGTCGAGATCGATATAGAATTCTTTCACTTGGTATAACAGAATCTGAATGGTGGGATAAAAATTTATTTGATTGGCATTTAAAAGATGGTGAAATAAATTTAAAATTACAATCAGGTGGTTTTAAAATATTTAAAAGTTTATTTTCTTTAAAAAATGATTGTTGTTTAAAGGAAAAAGAATTATCTATAGTAACGACATTATCGGGTTTCCCTATTGATGTACTAAAATCAGCTAGAAATCCAGGTTTTTATGATCCTTGGTCTTGTACCAATGATATAACTATTCACAATCCAAATTATTTTGGTTTATTTAAAGCTAAACTTGATTGGACACTATTACGTGGTTTTGATGTTGTTAATAGATGGATTGGCAATCATGATTATAATGCAAGCGATCACAAATATTTAATGGTGGATATTAAATTTGATGATTTACAAGATATGGTAGATGGAAAAGATAAAGAAATTTGGGAAAAAAGAAGGATTTATTGGAAAAACAAAACACAAGAAAATAAAAAATCTGGCGGAATTAAAAATTGGGTGAATTTTATTGGAATTATTTCTGTTGGATTAGTTGGATTAGGAATTTTAAGATTAATGAAAAAATAAAAACTTTTTTTAGTTGGTCTGAAAAAAAAAAAAAAATAAAAATCATATGAAATATTTTAATTATTTGTCAATCTAAATCTAGATTAGCCCAGAAAATTTTTTGGGCATGATTATAAATTTTAAAGTTTAATGAAATATTATTGGAAATTTTTCTAGTGCAGATTTATCGATTTTATATTTTTGGCATAATTTTAAAATTTAATGGAAATTTCTAATGCAATTTTATATTTTTGGGCATAATTTTAAGTTTATTATTGTGCAGATTTATCGATTGATTATCTTGATAAATTATTTTAATTAACCTTCACTTGCCATGTTAGATTATGTTAGACTCAAAAGCTTAGCTGGGGCTCAATTATTCACAAGAGCCACTGATAATCGATCATTTTTTTTTTTTTTTTTACATAAAAAAAAAAGAATTTCACCTAAAAAAAAGTTTTCACTAATTTGTTTTCAGGAGACTGAATACAGATAAAAAAAAATTTTCCCTATCAAATAACTCTATATATAATAAAATGGTTATCTCAACGAACCTAGGTTTCCCTCGTATGGGCGCTAACCGTGAATTGAAACGCCTTGTTGAAAACTTTTGGTCTGGAAAAGTTGATGAAAATGCTCTTCTTAGTGGTTCAAAGGTATGCAGTATTTGGTATGTTTTCAATATTTTATATTATTAATTTCATGCTTTTAATTTGTAGAAAATTCGTGAAGAACATTGGTCACTCCAAAATAAAGCTGGTCTTGAACACATTCCCTCTAATGATTTCTCCTTTTATGACCAAGTGGTTGACCACTCTTATGCTTTTGGTGTCATTCCTGCTCGTTACAAGAACCTTCACCCCGGTCTTGAAACCTACTTTGCCATGTGTAGAGGTCTTCAAAAAGCTGAAGTTGACGTTCCTGCTTGTGAAATGAAGAAATGGTTCGACACTAATTGTAAGTAATATGATTTTATTAGAATAATGCCATATCGCGACATATTACGACAAATATTTTTATGCGTTACGTAATAATACGGCATGGTCTAGCCCAAACTTTATTAATCCTAGCTTAAAACTTTTAATGCAGACCATTACATTGTCCCTGAATTTGAACCAAATCAACAATTCACTCTCAACCCTGCTAAAATACTCGACGAGTTTAAAGAAGCGAAAGACATCGGTATTCAAACTCGGCCTGTCATTTTGGGTCCGATCTCTTATCTACTACTTGGAAAGCCTATAAGGGGTGCCCCTCATGAGTTTGAACCAATTCAGTTATTGAGCAAGCTTCTTCCTTTATATGAAGAATTATTATCTAAATTGGCTGGTGCTGGAGCTACATGGATTCAAATTGATGAACCATTTCTAGTAACTGATCTGTCTTCCAACCTTAAGAAAGAGTATTCTTCTGCTTATAATGCACTTACTAAAGTGTCTCCTCAACTAAAAATTTTGATTGCAACATATTTCGAACGTATCGGTACCAATATTGACTTCGTAATCAATACTCCCATAAGTGCAATTCACATTGATCTAGTTCGCGCTCCTGGTCAATTGGAAACAATTTTGAAAAGCATACCTTCGACAGTTTCCTTATCTCTTGGTCTGATCAATGGGCGTAATATTTGGAAAGCCAATTTTGATGCTGCTTTGACCACAGCTCAGAAAGCTATTGATACTCTTGGTTCTGAACGTGTTTTTATTGCACCATCTTGTTCTCTTTTACACACTCCTCATTCTGTTCAAGCCGAGAAGAAAATTGATCCTGAAATTTTGGATTGGTTATCTTTTGCTACTGAAAAGATTAAGGAAATAGTAACTATTTCAAAAGTATTGAATGATGGTAACCAATCTGTTCAGAGCGAGATTGATGCTAACCGCAAATCGTAAGTACTTATGATCTATCTGTTTAGGAATAGTTTATATCATAGGCTTGTGGTTGACTAAGTGAATATTCTCATTTTAGAGTTCAAAATCGAAAAACGTCACCTCGTATTCATAATGCCGTTGTGCAAGAGAAAATGAAAACTCTCAATCCTGATATGTTTAAGCGTAAATTACCTTTTCGTGAAAGACAAAAACAGCAACAAAAATTAGGTCTTCCTTCCTTTCCAACAACCACTGTCGGATCTTTTCCTCAAACAAAAGAAGTCCGTGCAGTCCGTGCTAAGCTCAAGAAAGGTGAAATAGATCAAGCCGGGTATGATGATTTCGTCAATAAAGAAATTGAAAAATGTATTCGTTTTCAAGAAAAAATTGGCATAGATGTTCTTGTACATGGAGAGTTCGAACGTAATGACATGGTTGAATTCTTTGGTGAAAATCTAGAGGGTATTTATATTTATTAGTTTGCCTGTCATGTAATTTAATAGAATAAAAAAATAACTAATTAATTGCCAAATAGGCTATGTTTTCAGTGGAAATGGCTGGGTTCAATCTTACGGATCACGTTGCATCAAACCACCCATCATTTTTGGAGATGTTTTCAGACCAAAACCTATGACTGTAGATGTTATTAAATATGCTCAATCCCTAACTAAGAAGCCTTTGAAAGGTATGTTAACTGGTCCGGTTACTATGCTCCAATGGTCATTTGTTCGTGATGATCAGCCCCGTAAAGACACTACGTTCCAATTGGCTCTTGCCATTCGAGAAGAAGTACATGATCTAGAAGCTGCTGGTATTTCTGTTATTCAGGTAAGCAACATTTCTGGTTTTTTTTATGAAAATTATGAAAATTGTAATAATTAACAGTAATCATATTTGCGATTTCTTAGATTGATGAACCTGCTATCCGTGAAGGATTACCTCTCCGTAAAGAAGATTGGAATGAATATCTCAACTGGGCAGTTGATGCCTTCCTTCTTTCTAGTACTGGCGTTGATTCTTCCACCCAAATTCATACTCATATGTGCTATTCCGACTTCAACGACATCATTGAATCGATTCAGCGTATGGATGCCGACGTAATTACTATTGAAAATTCTAGATCAGACTTAAAACTCCTAAACGCATTTGAGAAACATGAATATACAAATGAAATTGGTCCAGGCCTTTATGATATACACTCTCCTCGTGTTCCTTCAAAAGAAGAATTGAAGGCTCGTCTACAAGAAATCCTTAAATATATTTCTAAGGATCTAATTTGGGTTAATCCTGATTGTGGCTTGAAGACTCGTGGATGGGCTGAGGTTGAATCAGCACTGAAGAACATGACCGATGTTGCAAAAGAATTCCGTTCAATTGAAGCTAAATAGTTTGACATATTGAAACATTCTTTAGTATATAGTAAAAATTATTGTGTACAAAAAATGAGTAAAATGTAATTATTTAATAAATTTATTAAATTATTTAATAACATGATGAGCGGAAAAGTGATTATCACTTTGTGTTACAAAGTCGTGATTGCAGATCTAATGTTTAACTAGATGTTGGTTTTTAAAAGTTCTCCTCACTTTGTAGTATATGTATATGCAGTATTTTGTAAGCGTTAAATGAATAATTCTGTGAATACCCAAGATTTCATTAAAGTAGCAAATGAGGTTGGTATTCAAATAATTTTATCTCATCATAAATATTATGTAACTTACGCGTAAGTACGCGTAAAATAATTTGAAGGCAGACAATGTAGTCGATTTTCTTGGACCTTCAATTAAATATGAATGCGATGAGTAAATATTTGTATACATTTTTTTTATTGCCGTTCGTGTTTATTTTAACTTTTTATTTTGATTACTTATCCTTTTTTTTTTTTTTTTTTAAAAAAAAAAAGCATGGTTATAAATATTGAATATTATACAATTACAACTTTACCAACTAAATTGAAAGAATGGGCATTTGACTTATTAAAATCAAACATGGAAAACTTGTAAGTTCATATTTTTTTTGAATACAAATAAACATTTCTTTATAATAATAGGTTCTTTTTTTTTTTAAGGTATAAAGGTTCGAATCTTGGATGGAATTCTAAACAAAAACGTCAAGAGATGAATGATAAAGATTGTAAATATTTAATCGCGTCAAATAATGAAAAACCAATTGGATTTGCCATGTTTCAATTTACTTGGGAAGAAACTATGGCAGATGATGATAAAGAAATTGAAGTCATATATTGGTATGTATTAATTACCTCCTTTTGCTTAAGTTTTGAATAATTTACTAAATAATAATGTATATACAGTTATGAAATTCAATTAGCTGAAGAAGCAAGAAGAAAAGGTTTAGGTACATTCTTAATGAGAACATTGGAAAATATTGGAAAAAATTGGAAAATGAATAAGGTTATGTTAACCACGTTTAAAAGTACGTATTTATTACAAGAATTGTTATGAAATTTCATTTAATTATAACTAATTACTAAATTCTTTTGTTTGTTTTATTTTTTGTTCCTCTAAAAGAAAATAAATTGGCAATGGATTTTTATATTAATCGACTTGGGTAAAGTAATCATTTCCTTTCCATTCTTTATGAGAAAAGAATAATACTTATTTATTAATTGTTTATAGTTATCAAATTGATGAAATTTCACCAAGTGAAGTTTTATTACCCAAAGAAGCTAAAGATTATGATTATGAAATATTAAGTATAAAATTATGATATGTTTAGAATTCATCCTTTAGAACAATTGAAATAAAATCAACTCACCCGAGTTTTCTTTCCATTATTTATGTGATGTACGTTTATTTGTTAATGAATTTACCTTTCCAAGAACACTCTTTTTTAAGAATGTAGTTGACTTTTCTGCTGCAACTTTAATTTCCTCCAAATGATCCATAATACTTTCAGAATGCTTAGTAACAAGTAATAATAATATCTGACCTAATTTCTGATTATTAGGTTGAAGTTCAAGATTAAGATTCAAGTGGTATAAAAATCTTTTAAGAATATATTGATTTTCAATTTGAAATTTTTGATTAAATATCGAAAATAATATTTCAATCATTGAATCATCCCATTTCTCAAGATGATTGGGTAGGGTTACACTGGTAGACTCATTAAACATTCGGAAATCAGAGAATAATTCTCTAAATATTTTTGATATAAAAAAATTGAGTTGATTATTAGAAGGGAAAATTGGTAATGAGAAAGAATTTTAAGTATTCAGTATATTTTTACATTATTAGAGATACGATAGATTCCTCACTCAATCCTCCATTAATTATTCGAGTAATAACTTCCAATTGTGGTCGAGCAATCTCTTGAGACTCTTTAATTAAAGGCAATAGTAATCCATAGACGACTGGTTTGCCTTTAGATTTTGTAATTTTTGAAAGAATGGACAGTAAGTCACGTGAAGGCTTCGACGTGATTAAACGTATCTACATATAAATTATATAAATTAAAATGTTAAGGGTTCAAAATCCGGATTACAAATTAAGTGATTCATTAAGTCATAAAATACCTTTTCCAAAAATGTAAATTTGAAGAAAATGACATAATTCTGATACATGATATCTTCATGCTGTATTATGTCATTACACAAAGTTTCTAATAATTTATCATCAATTCGGGTAATCTCTAATTTCTCAAAGGATTCACGAAGCTTAATAATAAAATAATGGTTTAATATAATAGATTTTAAATTTATTTTGATTTTTAAATCAAAGGAAAAACGCGTTCTTTCTTTATACTTACTTGAACATGAGGTAGTCTAATCAAATCGTTAAATTTAGATAAAAATTCTTTGGTGTCACATTCTTTACTGTGTTGTGTAATCTGTTCGAATAAGCTTTTTAAAGTTTGAATTAATTCAAAATTTAGAGACGTAACATGATCTTCCGTCGATTCCGACTTTTGATTTACTTCGTCTGACAAGATGTCAATGGACATATTATCATCTTTTTTAATGAAATTAATTAAATTAATTTAATATGATAATAAGTATTAGTGTTAATAAAATATAATATTTTTATGATAAAGTACCAAAATTTTTTTCATCATACACTTTTGAATTTTGTTGTTGATTTTGATCCGTGATTTTTCTTCGTTTCCGTTTTCTCATAATATAATCCTTAGCAACGTAATATATAGCGCGAAGGTTAAAGACATATAAATCACATCATTAAATAAATACATTCATAATATCAAAAAAAAAATAGAAGGATATAAAAATTGGCGATGAATGAGAAGGAACTGTTGGTTGAATTTCATTTTCTTTAATCCGTTGTACAAAATTATCAAGACTTTGACCATCTTTTTTAAAAATTTCTTTAATAGCTGGATCTATAGGAAATAAATTTTCATTTAAAGATAATTCTTCATTCCATTTTTTAGCAGATAAAAGATAATAATTTGACATGATTTTTCAAAAAATTTGATTAAAAGAATAGAATTTATAGAAATGAATGTCGATTACTGCGCCAAAAAAACACAAATTTCGTATTCATTAAATTAATTTTATGTATACACTAAACATAATCTTCTAAACAAAAGAAAGAAAATTATAATTTATAGGTCAGTTAATTATTATTTTTTTTTAAAGACTATCACCAAGTTGATTAATAATGTTAAATTCAAGAGAATTGACTTGTTGTTCGAGATTTATTTCATAATTTAACTCAGTCCATAGATGCGTAAGCGGTTTCAAATTATCAGGATCCAATTCTGGCCAATTCTTTCGAATTGTATCCAATAATTCATGGAATAAAGTCTAAAAAAAAAACAAGAAAAGAAATTTCGTATTTAAATAATAAAAGTAAATTCTTTTAACCCAATCGATTTGAATTACTCACTTCGTTTCCAAGAGAGGAAAAATGTATACCATCAGATAATAAATCATTTAAGGTCACGTTAGTTAATGTCACCTTATCAGTCATCAATTTCCATAAATTTAGAACGGGAACATTTAACTCATTAGCTAAATCTACACATGCTTGAGCATATTTAGCAGTAACATCGGATTTTCTATCTTTAAGTCCTTTATGCTTCACTCGAGCTTCTTCATTTAATGGGGGTGGTGTAACAAGTAAAATTCTTGTTTCAGGTGAATGATAAGGAGAGTCTGGATCTTTAATGATATTAATCATTTGTTTAAGGTTTTCTTTATATTTTTCGAGTGAAACATGTTGAACTGATGGTTGAATAGCCGCATCGTTCGCTCCAAAAAATATAATTAATAAAAATACTTTTGGATTTTTAGTTGGATTATTTTTCTTTGGTAATAATTGTGGGAGTAAATGTTTTGCTAATTCAGTATTATAACCTAAATATGATAACATTTATCTTAGTTTAATATATTAATCTTATGAATGAAATTTAGGTTATTTATAAGCACCTGAAAAGCCCCTATTTAAGACATCCAATTTTCTAATATAAGAATATTGAAGTGCAGCACCCCATCCTTTTTCAAAAGCATTATGACTAAACTAAATTAAATTAAAATAAATAAATACATAATATATAAGATAAAAGATTTGCTAAATACCAAATTTATCATTTTAATTTTAAATTAAAAAGAAAACCTGAGTAAGAGAATCACCAAATATAACAATTTGGTTATATAGATTGCTCATAGTTTTTTTTTCCTAAAAAAAAAAAAAAAATTAATTCGTACAATCTCTGTGGTCGTTTATATTTATACTGATTTAATCCAACACGTGTGTAACATTGTTCATTATGAAAGAATTAAGTACTAAACAACATTAAGATTGAGTTTGAGAGATTTCTCGTAGTGTTTTTTGATCCGTGGATTGTTACTGATTGTTTAGGTTTTCGCAAAAATATTTAACCGATCAATGAAATTAGCTATTTCCAATTCCAACCATAAAAAAGCTAAGCTCGAATAGGCTCTTTATATAATCAATAACAACATTAGTCCATATAGTGTAACGGTATGTTAATTTCATGATGACTTGATTTTATGTCTAGAATGCAAGAAAGATATTAAGGTTTTTAACCCTTATTAGTTCATTCAAGTTCATGACAAGTTTCTGAATACAATAAGGAGTGAAAATATAAGGAATCTTATGTTGAGAAAACTTATTAAAATTATAAACATGCAAGTAAAACTTCAAATCCCAGTTAGATGGCTGGATAGCGTAATTAAACGTCATAGCGGGCAAACAATTGCTAAATAATACGGGCTCTCCACTATTTTCGCCATGCAGGTGTGTTGGGTGTTTATATAGTTAGTTAATGGGACATGAATTTAACTCATAACAGATTAATAGGTAGCGTGACGTATTTTCTATATTTTTTTTAGGATCATGAGATTACGGAGATAGATAAATGTTTTCTATTTATTATTGCGCAAGCTTTACTTAATAAGTCACGAATTAGTGGCTATATAGGCTATTTAAAATATTAGCTTATAAGTTAATGGATTCGAACTTGAAAAATACTTTAATTCCGAATCGAATTAATTTCCTTAAAATTTATGGAATTCGCATAATCTCATTTACTGTAAAAAGATTACATTATTTGTGATTTTATTGGCCACCATTAAATATTCCATATGCCTGTTATTGGTCGAGATATGATGTTTTAAAATATATCCTTATATATTAATATTCAATGTGTGTTTGTTTATAACGGTATGACAAGTCGGAAGCCTTTCATTATTTAAAAGTTGCACAATAAGGAACGTAATATGTGTGTAAGTTCCCGTTAAGATCCGTCACTGCTAAGGATTTTCATATCCGGTTATCCAGTAATTTTTAAAACGGATAGCGAACCATGAAAATTTATGCACATAATGTTCGCTGCTTTATATACACTTTAAAATGTTTTTACCATCTGAATAATAATATTTGGTTTACTTGATATATCAGCTTGCTTAGTTTTAACTAAGCGCAATCGATGTATAAATGTCGGATTTTTTTGCAATCTGTGGTTTTGCGAATTTTTATTTTATGTTTTCACGTTCCACTCGTGTCCAAAATTAATATAAATAATAAATAATCTAAAGTTCACCATTGCATAACCTAAATTGTAAAAATAAAATAATATTTTTTTTTATAAATATAATTCGTTTGTAAACATAATTGAGTACTAATTGTATTGGAAATAATAATTCGTATCTGTTTTCAATATGAAGGTATGTATACTGTATACGTACATATTCGTTGTAGAGATATTATATATTCTTATTATAATACTACTCACAGAAGGATTCAGCGAACAAGGATTCAGTAAATTTTTTTACCGTTTTTCGATACTTTACATACGCATGTGCCATCTTTTTTTACCTTTTATATTTGGGTTATTTGATACATCAGCTTGCAACAGATTATCCCCTTCTTAATGTCAAATATAATTTCTTAGATGTAATGCAAGTTCCCAGTAAGTTCTGTTAACAAATAAAAACAAATTCACATGAGCTTGCAAATGAACTTACGCCTTTTATTATTGATAGGTATGAAAATGTGTTCCCCAGGGTATTTTGATATTTTAGCTTGTAAATACAAATTAAATAATAATAGTACAATACCAGAATGCTTGAGATATATCTCTAACATTACTTATAATGCCGATGAGCGAATTTATTGCCGTACTTTCAATTCGGATTTAAAGTATGTACATGATAAGCCAGATGGACTGAATAAGTTAAAATTTTTTTTCAAAATCAACACAACAGAAGCAGAAGCTGAGGAACTTGGAGTGGCTTTGATTACATTAGATTTAATACCACCCAGTAAGTAAATTTTCACCCACACGAATTTTATCTGTTTTGAGATCTCACGGGGTTACGAAGCTTTATATGAGATTATATAAATTTTTTATATTAATAAAATAGATTTCAATCCATTATTGAAGATGGATAAAGCTGTTGAATTACGTCTTCAGCTTAAAGGCAACTTTGTCCCTGCAATTGTTGATAGAGTTGCACTGGTAAGATTTTATATTTTATTTATTAGTTGTTTTCTGTGTTATTCATGGATATTTATTTTCTATTTATTTATTTAGGTAAAATTTAAAACAAAAATATACAATAGCATTCCTCCTTGGAATTTTGGTTCTATCTTTGGATTACCTCCTAATTATCACAGTACACCGAGTATAGAATGCTCGGTCAATTACTTTCCTTTCAACCAGAATCCATATAATATGCCGATTGGAACAAATGGCTACTTCAGTATTAGTCCAGGAGACTTTATAGTGGAGGAGACCAGTGAAAAACGGTAAATTAACAGTTCATATATATAGTACTAATAAACATTACTATGAATACAACTAATCTTATTTATATACTATATAGAACAACGACCATTCTTAGTATTTTTGGATCAGCTGGCGGTGCATTTGGTTAGTATATTTTTGATTCATAAATAATAAATTAAAGAGTCATAACTTACCCGTTATACCTTTTACTTTTCTTTTTTTTCGATAATTAATAGGTATTGTCATGAGTACTCTTAAATTTCTCTTTGGATCACCACGACTAGATCCATGGGGTTTTGTGAGAAGGATATCTATAGATAAATGGTATCTTCTACGAACTTTTATACCAAAAGATGGCGATGACAATTTACTCTACGATGAAATTGATTTTAAAAAATACTTGGTTATTCATAAAAATTTGTCCAAATTGGAATAATTTATAATATGCCTTCGCGAAATAATATGTTGCATTGAAATAAAAAGCTGAATTATAAAGTTATAAATTATGAAGGGAAAAAAATAATGCGAACATAAAAATTTGTATACCATTACGATATTTATATTCGAATTAGGGTATATTTGCAAATTCTAATTTAGAATTCAACTAATTAGCTAAATTCATTTTATGTAAATATGACATAAAAGCTGTTAAATTAGTTGAATATTGTTAAATATGCTATTTACAAAGTAGTGGTTGAGTGTAGGCTATCTACTATGGTTTCTTTACTGTAAGGAGATCGGAAACTTTTGAAATATTTAAATATTTTAAATTTTAATCTCGTGTCTAAAAAAGAAGTTTTTTTTTTTTTAAAAAAAAAAATAATAATAATAATTCGTACAGTCCGTCTTTGTGATCTTTTATAATTATATCTAATCCAACACCGGCAAACACGTGTATAAATTGTTCATTATGAAAGAATTGGTACTAAACACATTGATCTTTTAGAATAGTATTAAGATTGTGAGTTTGAGAGATTTCTCGTGTATTTATTGCCCATGATCCAATTGATCCATGGATTGTTTAAATTATCGCCAAATTGTTTAATCGATCTATGAAATTAACTTTGCCAACCATAAAAAAGAAAGCCAACCCTTTGGAACGAATAAAATATTGGCCTTAATCAATAATTTCATTAGTTCATATAATGTATACGTTATGCTAATTTCATTATGGCTTGATTTGTCTAGGGTGCAAGAAAGATTCTGAAAGAATCTTAAGTTCATGACAAGTTCATGACAAGTTTCTAAATACAAATAAAAATTATAAATCATAAGCATGCAAGAGGCAAAAACATAATTTAAAGAATATAATTAGCGAGTTGATTAAAAATCTTAGATGGTTATATCGCGTAATTAAAACGTCATAACTGGCAAACATGGCAAACAATTACTAAATTTCACCATACATTACAGTGTGTAGTACAGTTAGTTATTGGGTCATGAATTTAGGTCATAATAGATTAATAGCTATTATTATTTGGATGTAGTTTTGTGAGATTACGGAATATCTGCAGGTAGATAGATTGCAAAGCTAAAACAGATATATTTATGGATGCTAATTAGTAAATCACGAAATAGTGAACATATAATGAGAGATATTAGTTTAAAATATTAGGCATTTCCTACCCTCAGTTACGGAATACTATCAACCATCTCAACTTTGAAAAATGTTCTTCACCTAAATTTACCCGAATTCAATTGAAATTAATTTCTTTAAAATTTATATTACATATGAATACTGTAATTAAGTTCACGTGTGGAATTCATGTAACCTTATTTTAAGAACATAAAATTATTGACCACCATTAAATATTCAATATGCATGTTATTGGTCGAGATATAAAGTTGATATGCTGTGATATTTTATGTCCTTACATGTTAATGTTTAATGTATCTGCGGAATAGCGGAATAACGGTATGACAAATCGGAAGAAGTTTAATCCTAAAAGTTACACGAAAAGAGATAGAACATTCTACATAATTATAAATAGTGGGATATTTTAAGTCAAAAGGCTCAAAAGGCTGAAAATGATCGTGAACCGGGAGATTTAGCGAAACGTTACTTTAAATTTTTTCGCATAGTGTTCGTTGCTTTAAAATGTTTTTTTTCGCTATCTGGCTAATTATATTTGGTTTGCTCAATACATCTTAACTTGCTTAGTTTTTAAATAATTAATATAATTAACCTTCTAGACGCAATCGACGTGTAATGTCGAAAAAAAAATTTTGTTTGCAAATTGAATTGTTTGTCACATTGCACTCGTGTCCCAAAATTTATGTTAATAAACAATAAATATTGGTCCCATCTAATTTGTAACAAAAACAATGCTCTATTTATAAACCAATTTGAAATATATTTGTGAAAGTTTCGTGTATAAACTTAAATTTTATTAATTGTATCTAGTTTCGTATATAAATATAAAATGTAAGATGTTTAGAAAGTTGACAGTAAGTTATTTCTATAAGCTTTCAATATGAAGGTATGTATATACGTATTTGTATATTGATTCATAGATATATTCGTTGTAGAGCAGTATACTTATTAGTTATTACAATACTCCTCTCACAGAAGGATTCAGTAAATCTTATTATTTTTCGACACTTTGCATACGCATTTGCCATCCTTTCCTCTCTTCTCTATTTGAGTTATTTGATATATCAGCTTGCAACAGATTATCCCCTTCTGAATATAAAATATGATTTCTTAGATACAATACATGTTCCCAGTAAGCTTTGTTAACAAATAAAGACAAATTCATACGAACTTACAAATGAACTTACATCTTTTATTATTGATAGATATAAAAATGTGTTCCCCAGGGTATTTTGAGATGTTAGCCTGCGATTACAAGTTGAATAATAATATAGAAATACCAGGATGCTTGAGATATATCTCAAACATCACTTATAATAGTGGTGACCAAAGATATTGCCGCACTTTCAATTCGGGCTTAAAGTACGTACGTGAAAAGCCAGATGGGCTGAATAAGTTAAAATTTTATTTCAAAATAAACACAACAGAAGCAGAAGCTGAGGAACTTGGAGTGGCTTTGATTACATTAGATTTTATACCACACAGTAAGTAAATTTTCATCCACATGATTTTATCTATTTTTGAGATTTCATCAAGTTACGTTTCTTTATATGGGATTATATTATAAAATTGCTTATATATTAATAAAATAGATTTCAATCCATTATTGAAGATGGATAAAGCTGTTGAATTACGTCTTCAGCTTCAAGGAATCTTTGTCCCTGCAATTGTTGACAGAGTTTCACTGGTAAGATGTTTCTATATTATTTATTAGTTGTTTTCTGTGTTATTTATGGATATTTATTTGATTATTTCTATCTATTTATTTAGGTAAAATTTAGAACAAAAATATACAATAGCATTCCTCCTTGGAATTTTGGTTCTATCTTTGGATTACCTCCTACCTATCACAGCACACCAAGTATAGAATGTTTGGTCAATTACTTCGAATTCAACAAGAATCCATTTAATATGCCAATTGGAACAAATGGCTACTTCAGTATTAGTCCAGGCGACTTTATAGTGGAGGAGACTAGTGAGAAACGGTAAATTAACAGTTTATATAGTACTAAGGAACATTACTATGTATGATACAACTAATGTTATTTATAAACTATATATAGTACGACGACCATCATTCTTAGTATTTTTGGATCAGCCGGCGGTGCATTTGGTTAGTATATTTTTGATTCATAAATACTAATAAATTAAAGAGTTATAACTTACCTGTTATACCTTTTCTTTTCTTTTTTGATAATTGATAGGTATTGTCATGAGTACCCTTGCATTTCTCTTTGGATCACCACGACTGGTTTTGTGAGAAGGATATCTATAGATAAATGGTATCTTCTGCGAACTTTTATACCACAAGATGATGACAATTTACTCAATGATGAAATTGACCTTGAAAAATACTTGGTTATTCATAAAAATTTGTCCAAATTGGAATGATTTTTATTATGCCCTCGTGAAATAATATGTTCCATTGTTCAGAAATTCAGAAATAAAAAGCTGAATTATAAAGTTATAAATTATGAAGGGAAAAAAATAATGCGAACATAAAAATTTGTATACCATTATAATATTTATATTCGAATTAGGACATACCGTATTTGTAAATTCAAATTTAGAATCGAATTCAACTAATTATTCTATTATAGCTAAAATTCATTTTCTGTAAATATGACATAAAAAGCTGGTAAATTAGTTGAATATTGTTAAATATGCTATTTACTAAATAGTTATAAAAATAGTGGTTGAGTGTAGGTTATCTATGGTTTCTTTACTGTAAGGAGATCGGAAAATTTTGAAATATTTAAATATTTTAAATTTTAATCTCATATCTAAAAAAGAAGTTTTTCTTTTTTTTTAAAAAAAAATAATAATAATTTGTACAGTCTTTGTGATCTTATATAATTATATCTAATCCAACACCGGCAACACGTGTATAAAATATAAATTGTTCATTATGAAAGAATTAGTATTAAACACATCGATCTTTTAGGATAGCGTTTACTCCTCTTCTAGAAATAAAATAAAATAAAATAAAAAAATTAATCTTTTAGGATAGTATCAAGATTGTGAGTTTGAGAGATTTCTCGTGTATTTTTCATGATCCATGGATTGTTTAGATTATCGCCAAATTATTTAATCGATATATGAAATTAACTATTGCCAACCATAAAAAAGAAAGCCAACCCTTTGGAACGAATGAAATATTGGCCTTAATCAATAATTACATTAGTTCATATAATGTATACGATATGCTAATTTCATTATGGCTTGATTTTGTCTAGGAGCAAGAAAGATTCTTATGTTCATGACAAGTTCATGACAACTAAGTTTCTAAATACAAATAGAGTTATAATCATAACATGTAAGAGGCAAAAACATAATTTAAAGAATATAATTAGCGAGTTGATTAAAAATCTCAGATGGTTATTTCGCGTAATTAAAACGTCATAACTGGCAAACATGGCAAACAATTACTAAATTTCACCATACAGTGTGTTGTACAGTTAGTTATTGGGTCATGAATTTAGGTCATAATAGATTAATAGCAATTATTATTTGGATGTAGTTTTGTCACTTTTGTGAGATTACGGGATATCTGCAGGTAGATAGCAAAGCTAAAACGTCTATATTTATGGATGCTAATTAGTAAATCACGAAATAGTGAATATATAATAATAATAAGAGATATTAGCTAAAATAATAGGCATTTCCTACCCTCAGTTACGGAATACTATCAACCATCTCAACTTTGAAAAATGTTCTTCACCTAAATTTACCCGAATTCAATTGAATTTAATTTCTTTAAAATTTATATTAAATATGACTGATACAGGATACTGTAATTAAGTTCACGTGTGGAATTCATGTAACCTTATTTTAAGAACATAAAATTACTGACCACCATTAAATATTCCATATACCTGTTATTGGTCGAGATATAAAGTTGATATGCTGTGATATTTTATGTCCTTACATGTTAATGTTCAATGTATCTGCGGAATAACGGTATGACAAATCGGAAGAAGTTTAATCCTAAAGTTACACGAAAAGAGATAGAACATTCTACATAATTATAAAAATAGTGGGATATTTTAAGAAAAAGCTCAAAGGCTGAAAATGATCGTGATCCGGGAGATTTAGCGAAAATAATTTCACGTTACTTTAAATTTTTTGCGCATAGTGTTCGTTGCTTTAAAATTTTTTTTTTGCTATCTGGCTAATTATATTTGGTTTACTCAATAGTCAATACATCTTAACTTGCTTAGTTTTTAAATGTCAAATATAATTAATATAATTAACCTTCTAGATGCAATCGACGTGTAATGTCGAAAAAAAATTTTTGTTTGCAAATTGAATTGTTTGTCACATTGCACTCGTGTCCCAAAATAAACAATAAATATTGGCACCATCTAATTTGTAAAAAAAACAATACTCTATTTATAAACCAATTTGAAATATATTTGTGAAAGTTTCATGTATAAACTTAAATTTTATTAATTGTATCTAGTTTCGTATATAAATATAAAATGTAAGATGATTAAAAAGTTGACAGTAAGTTATTTCTATAAGCTTTCAATATGAAGGTATGTATACACGTATTTGTATATTGATTAATAGATATATTCGTTGTAGAGCGGTATACTTATTAGTTATTACAATACTCCTCTCACAGAAGGATTCAGTAATTATTATTTTTCGACGTTTTGCATACACATTTGCCATCCTTTCCTATCTTCTCTATTTGGGTTATTTGATATATCAGCTTGCAACAGATTATCCCCTTCTGAATATCAAATATGATTTCTTAGATACAATACATGTTCCCAGTAAGTTTTGTTAACAAATAAAGACAAATTCATACGACTTACACCTTTTATTATTGATAGATATAAAAATGTGTTCTCCAGGGTATTTTGAGATGTTAGCCTGCGATTACAAGTTGAATAATAATATAGAAATACCAGGATGCTTGAGATATATTTCAAACATCACTTATAATAGTGGTGACCAAAGATATTGCCGCACTTTCAATTCGGGCTTAAAATACGTACGTGAAAAGCCAGATGGGCTGAATAAGTTAAAATTTTATTTCAACATAAACACAACAGAAGCAGAAGCTGAGGAACTTGGAGTGGCCTTGATTACATTAGATTTTATATCACACAGTAAGTAAATTTTCATCCACATGATTTTATCTATTTTTTGAGATTTCACCACGTTACGTTTCTTTATATGGGATTATATTTTAAAATTGCTTATATATTAATGAAATAGATTTCAATCCATTATTGAAGATGGATAAAGCTGTTGAATTACGTCTTCAGCTTCAAGGAATCTTTGTCCCTGCAATTGTTGACAGAGTTTCACTGGTAAGATGTTTCTATATTATTTATTAGTTGTTTTCTGAGTTATTTATGGATATTTATTTGATTATTTCTATCTATTTATTTAGGTAAAATTTAGAACAAAAACATACAATAGCATTCCTCCTTGGAATTTTGGATCTATCTTTGGATTACCTCCTACTTATCACACCACATCAAGTATAGAATGTTTGGTCAATTACTTTCCTTTCAACCAGGATCCATATAATATGCCAATTGGAACAAATGGCTACTTCAGTATTAGTCCAGGAGACTTTATAGTGGAGGAGACTAGTGAAAAACGGTAAATTAACAGTTTATATAGTACTAATAAACATTACTATGAATACAACATCTTATTTATATACTATATAGAACAACGACCATTCTTAGTATTTTTGGATCAGCTGGCGGTGCATTTGGTTAGTATATTTTTGATTCATAAATAATAGATTAAAGAGTTATAACTTACCTGTTATACCTTTTCCTTTTCTTTTTTGATAATTAATAGGTATTGTCATGAATACCCTTGCATTTCTCTTTGGATCATCACGACTGGATCCATGGGGTTTTGTGAGAAGGATATCTATAGATAAATGGTATTTTATACGACGACAATATGACGATATTATTGTACCCTACGATAAAATTGATTTTAAACAATACTTAAATTTTTATAATGGAAATATGGCATGAAAATTTGACTGTGTGAAATTTGTTGGATATTGTATTAGATATTTAATTACTAAAATTATTAGATGGGAGACCGATATTTTTACATCCGTCCATTTACCTTCTTGACCCTTCTCGTGTTACTTCCATAAACCATTGTAATTGTGCTAATTTTTTTTTTCAAAAAAACATTGAAAATTATTTAGTATAGGTTATCTATGGTCTTTATTGCGAGGAGATTGGAAAAATTTGAACTGTTTTTAAATTTATTCTCATATATCTAAAAAATAGTTATATCCTATTATTGTACATTGTAAAATTATCAATAAAATACTTTTTCACAACTACAATATGAAGTAGTTACGGAAATTATTATGAAAATCATCAATTAAATTGCAGAAAAAGCTCAATAGTAATATTATCCCTTCTTAATCACCACAAATCTAACCTCCAGCTCCTTATTTACCAAATATGAAGTTCTAACCTCAATATTCTCTTTCCAATTGCTTGACCTTTTATAATTCTCCAAGTTTCATCATTATTTATTTCAATCCATTCTTTGTTCTTCCTGTAACGAGGAATCGGAGATTTTTTTCCAAATCTACTTTCGATGGTATCCAATAATATATGGAATTGGGCATTAATAGGAAATGCGATTGCTCGACGTTCATGTGGGAAAACACATGTTATATATATCTAAGAAACAAAGTTAATATTGAAAAAAAAACATTGATTGTATCAATATAGAATAGCCATAAGACATACCTTTAGCTCGTCTTCTGTATTAACTTCATTATGAATTCCATTTTTACAAAAATATAATCTATCAATTCTGGATTCCAGTGATGATAAAGTTGGAAGCCTTACTGATGAGTGAGGAGTTAGCAATAATGATTGTGCTCTATCGAATTTATTACCAGTTGGATCATAATTCATTGGAGTAGGTTCAAGGAGATACGGATATTCTCCAAGATGATGGCAAAACTATAAAATAAAACGTTTGGAATTACATGATAATAAAAACATAATAATTATAACAATAAAAAAATTATTATATTTACATAGTGTTGATAATTCTTCTTCATTTTTATAAGAATTTTTCCATTGTCAGTAACACAAAATCCAGTCACCTGGCTTAGTGGAATCGCCGCTTCATATTGCATTCTATTAAAACAAACAGATACTATATTTTTATTAACCCGATAAAGAAATGCCAGATCTCCTAATTCAGTAGTTTTAATAAAACTTTGAGGCTTTGTAGGATACGAGAATTCAAATTGACTAATATCAATTTTAATCAAGTCTTCTTCTTTTTGTTTCATATTTTCAATAATATTGGAAGTTAAATTGATTACTCTATTTTTTTGAGTTTCAAATATAAAATTAGAAGGGGGAGCATTTGATGCAGAATTTCTTTTTTGACTGGCTGTATCTGATGTTGACAATAAATCTTCAAACATATTATCGTTGTTATCAATTTTTGAAGTATTTTGATTTTGATAATTTTTTGTTATGTGGCTATCCAGTTTTATCTTATCAATTCTCTTAATATTGTGATCAATCGCTTGTGTTAAGGGCGAAGATGGCGGAGTAGCTGTTTCAAAAATTCAAAAAAAAAAATTAATTTAACTTCTTTCGTAAAAAAAAAATATGTAAAAGAAAAATATATATATATAAACTAATTTACTGTAATGAGAAGTTTCGCTAACATCATCTTGAATATGTTTTTGATATTGATTATTCATTATAAAGGAGCAATAATTTATTCTTTAAAAATCAAAAATTAATTGATGGAAATGCCAGAGGACAATGTCAATCAATTACTAATATTTAATATTTATATAAGCCCGATCGTTGTATTGGTCACCTGACTCGGACCAATTAAAATCGATTCTTTTTTGTATTGTCTATTAATGTGCAAATTTGGGCGCGTATAATTGTTTTTTAAATACCTTACCGCAGTTTTCCACAGATTTTCCACGAGCATCCGAACAATTGCACCAATGAATGAAAAATGTTTACATATTCGCGTAATTGTTACAAATTTTTGTCATGTTTGTTGTGTATCATAAGTATTAAAAGGTTATTTATAATACACAATATAATTCAAATCATTAAATATGTTGTGATACAACTATCTTTCTTGAATAAGGTATTCAAGAGATTTTTCGGCAGGGATATATTTAAGGATTATTTACGATAACAAAAAGAATACGTATTATTATAATATTAAAGAAATCCCGTAATATTTTCTCACCCCTTAATTCTGGTTTTTCTTTTGATTATTTACAAATCAATCTTTGTTTAAATCTTTAATTAATCCTTAATTGTTCGTTTTTTAAGTAAATTCATTTGATCAACTCTACTTTTTTGGCTTTATATGCAATAACGCAAAAACATCACAATGAGCAAATAAATATATTGATCACTTAAAATGCGCTTGAAAATTTAGTAATATTTCGTCAAATAATAGTTGTAAGATGATTGGAACTCTGTTAACTTGCATTACATTTGAAAGTTACAAAATGGTTAGAAAAAATTGGTAATTTTCTTTTAAATAGATTGTCTTTGGGTTTTAAACCTGTCGTAGAACCTCCTCATTTATAACTTTTTTTGGTTTATTTGTCTTTAATAAATATTAGGGCATTTCCTTTTACTCCTCAAACTTCATTTTCTCGCGCGTTTTTTTTCCTTTGATTTTTTTCTCCTACCTTGAGTTTCAAATTTAAATTTAAGTACTACTCCCGAAGGTTGGTTTAAAAAAACCTGCTTGCTTAAAAATTATTTGAATTACCATTTACTGATTATATTTTTTTAAACCATCATGTGTGATGATTTTTTTTTATGACATCGGTGACATCGGTTTTAGATAATTACTGCGGATATATAGGTAAAATCTTTTGGTAATAATACTCTTTTCGCTTACTTTCTTTAATAATATTTTCGCTCTTGCAAAAAGAAAAGATTTAATTATAATTTATTATAATACATATGTTTTCCCACCAACTCTTTTTAGTTTCATAAATTAATCTTACGATTTATTTAAAACAATGGGTGAGTTCTTCATCGAATTTGGTTTCGATCTTCTATTTCATATTATATTTACATATAATTTTTTTTTTTATTTTCTTATTAGATTCTAAAGCAAATTCAACGTCAACTACATTAAAATCCAATCCTCTAATTAATAATAATTCAACTGCAGTTATTAATAATAGTAATATTGACCCAAAATTTTTGTTATCTAATTTTGAATCAAATCGAGATTTTCATTTTTTTACGGATTCTCAAGGCAACACCTTTACAACAAGAGATATTCCTTCCCAACAAAGTTTAATTCATAATTGGATGTTACCTATTTTTTCTTTACCAACTCCTCCACAACCACATCATCTTTCAATACAAAATACGAGCATTTTTATGAATCAAGTCATGCCCCACATATCTCCTCCAACATCCTCTAACGACATCTCAACAATCTCTGGCAATATAACTTTCACACATTCATTAAATGAGGCGCAGCCTATATGTTCAACTTCTAGCATTAATTCTACTACTGTATCTCAACGCAACTCTAATTTAACCAGTTCTTCTGCAAAGAACCGTCACGCATGTGATTGGCCTGGATGCACTTGGAGCTTTAAAAGACTCGAACATCTCAAACGTCACATGATCACTCATACTGGTGAAAGGAAGTATACTTGTAGTTATCCTGGGTGTGGTAAAAGATTTGGACGTTCTGATAATTTTGCAGCACATTATCGAACTCACAATAAAACCACTTCTCGAAAATCTCGCGGCGCAGCGAAATCAAAAAATAAAATTCAATTAAATAATCATAACGATATTTCAACGCAATTACACAACAATAATATAGTGCATAATAATAAGGGTGTAAATAATATTTCGATGCCACAAAATGTAATTTCACAAGAACTTGATGCGTCATATCCTTACTTCTGTGGCAATTCAAACGACAATTGATCAAGTCACTAACAATATAGGAAAGAACTTATTACTTATTCCACAAAAAGATTATTAAATATGTTATCCTATCGAAGAATTTCTTTTTTTTTTTTTTTACATATTTGAGCTTTTTTCGTAAAACATTTATTATTTAGTGGACATTTTAAGGTTATACATTTTCTTATACAGAAGAAAATTATCGATTCAATTCTTTTTATCTAGCTTTATTATAATTCTGTATTATTATTTACAAGACTGGTTCTTGTTTTCATTTTTTTAGCCTCTCATCTTTCTAAATCATTATCTATTATAAATTTTCTTAAATTTTTTTCATTTTCATTTTTAGTTTTTACGATATTTCTTGTTTTTTGCTTTTATTTGTACTAGAAATAAACAAAATGTTTTAACTGAAAATTTCGAAGTAATATGATTTCACGTGAAAATAAATATTATAATACGAAAAAATCACATTTTGAATGATTACATTCTTATATGGAACCCAATAATAATATAATTAATATAATACATATTTACTATAGGTATTTATCAAATGAAATTAATTTACAAAAATAAAAACAAGTAAAAATTTACATTTTTTTCATTTTTTTACGCAATCATCATAAAAATGAAAGTTGCAGTTATTACGGATAAACTCATAGTAACACCCCATAAACCATGACTATTAATATCATGTAAAATTGTCGTAGAATCTGAAACTATAGTATTGGTAGGAGCTTCAGTAACGGCAATACTCTTCACTACATATAGAGTGGATGGAGGGACGAATGTAGGTATACCTAAGGAATTTATTGTTGAATAACCAGCAAAGTATGATGTAAGTGTTGTTTCGATTGTTGTCAATTTTGCGTTTTCAGGAACTGGTGTTGGTGTTTCTACACCTGATTCTGTATATGTTGTAACTATCGGAACACTATAATTGATAAATTAATTTAATATTTTGAAGGAAAAAAAAGAATAAAATGGTTATTATTATAGTAAATGTTTAATACTTACATGTTTGATGGAAAGCATTTAGGATCATCTCCAGAGGTACAAGTAGTAGGTGTTGTTTTAGCAGGGATGGTTGGCGTTGGCGTTACACCTAATGGTGGTGGAGCTTTTGGTATTGGTGGTGGTAGTTCTTTTGGTGGAGGTGCAGGTGGTGGTACTTTTGGTGGTTCTTTTGGTGGTGCTTTTGGTGGTGCACCTTTTGGTGGTTCTTTTTGTGGTGCACCTTTTGGTGGTACTTTTGGTGGTGCACCTTTTGGTGGTTCATTTGTTGGTGCACCTTTTGGTTCTTTTGGTGGTGCGCCTTTTGGTTCTTTTGGTGGTGCACCTTTTGGTGGCATTTTTGGTGGTACTTTTGGTGGTACTTTTGGTGGTACTTTTGGTGGTACTTTTGGTGGTACTTTTGGTGGTACTTTTGGTGGTACTTTTGGTGGTACTTTTGGTGGTACTTTTGGTGGTACTTTTGGTGGTACTTTTGGTGGTACTTTTGGTGGTACTTTTGGTGGTACTTTTGGTGGTACTTTTGGTGGTACTTTTGGTGGTACTTTTGGTGGTACTTTTGGTGGTACTTTTGGTGGTACTTTTGGTGGTACTTTTGGTGGTACTTTTGGTGGTACTTTTGGTGGTACTTTTGTTGGTACCTTTGTTGGTACTTTTGGTGGTACTTTTGTTGGTACTTTTGTTGGTACTTTTGGTGGTGCTTTTGGTGGTGGAGTTTTTGGAGTAGGTGTAGGTGTAGGAGGTAAATTTATAGTCTCTATAGATGTTGCTGTACATTTAATAGTACCTATTTTTCCACAATATAAATTGCATTCGTTAAGTATTGTTCCACATTGACCGCCGCCGTTGAAAGAGCAAGCACAAAACTTATTAATACAGTCATTACAAGAACCCTGTCTCTTTTGAAAACTGCAATTGGTTGATGATGTTGTAAATAATATCAGTATTATGAATATGAGTACGTGTTTATGCTTAAATCCAAAATAAGCCATATTAAATAGTTTTTAAGTTTTTTAAACTTGAGATTTATTATTGATTCGAGTTTGACTTGTTTATATACATTTTAAAATTGATAAGATCTTAAATTACGCATTAAATTTATTTGTGTGTTACCAGTTAACCACAAGCAAAAAAAAAAAAAATTACTACACTAAAAAGTTTCATTAAAATATAAATAGATAATGGTGGAAATAATTAATCTTTTAAATATAATATTAGAAACTTTAAACATCTTCTAAAAAAAAGAATGTTTGTTCATTGAATATCTAATCAAAAAGAGAAAAGGTACACAAAGGGAAATTTTCATAAATCAACGATCATATTTGGTATTGTGAATCTGCCAATAATCAGCCTTAATACGGTTTTTGGATTTTCTACGTAGATCGCCGTTAAATGAAGTTCTGTTTTTGTGAAGAGATAATCGATTTTTTTTTTCAGTTCCCCTCATTTCTTTTTAATTTAAATGTACTTATGATTTCCTTATTTTGTTTCTCATATAGGATAAATTGAATTCATTCAAAATAAGTTAATCAACATTTAGATAGAAGTTTTCTTTTAATCTTTTTTGTCACAACAAATATTTGAACGATTAAATGATGTCCCGATTTGAGAAATTTGACATTATATTTTTTCTTTGGAGTTGATTATTATAATCTCTTTTATAAATTCTAAAAATTGGCATCCAGTCAATATTAGCAAACAAAGAAATATTTTTTTTTTTTTAGGAAAATATTTTAAGAACGACCAATTTTATACTTTAAGTTATTTAATACAAAATTTTTAGATTATTAAATATTCAGATAGGAGAAATAAGTCTAAACGCGTTAAAATAAACCGTTTAAGGGTTTTTTTTCCGGTTCCAACTTTTACGAATATTACCAATTTAATTGACAAAATCCGCAATTTTATCTTTTCACTTGTAAATTCGATTTCTTGTATAAATATAATGAAGTACGAAATATATTTTTTCTTATTCTACGTATACTATATATAAAGTTGTAACCAGAATTATATATTCATTTAAAGAAGCGAGCAGGACAGACTTATTCCGTTTTAGAGAACTGAACCAATTCTTGGTCCCGACTCAATTTCCGGCCGCTCGAGCCGCTCATTTGCGGAACTTCCTTGGTGATGGTGGAGATACGCGGTGGTAAATTTGAATTAAAATAAAGTTGCGATGATCGTCAGTAAGATGTACTGTATGTACTGTTTATCGTTATACAAATGTTGTGTCAATAATCATTTATTTTAATGATTACATTAAATTTCACACTAAATAAGCTCCATAAACAGATGATGGTGAAATTTAATTTTTAAAATATGAAGTAAACAACGCAAGAAGCAAAAGCAGAAGGTACGTTAATCGTTAAGGTGTATCACCCACAAAGAAAAATTTTTCATAAATCAACGATCATTTTTGGCGCAGCGAAATCTTTGGTTTTTTGAGTTTACTACAACAGTAAATGAAGTCCTGATTTGTATAAAAAGATAATCGATCATGGATTTTTTTTCAGTTCCCACACTTATAAATAAATTAAAATAGTTTTACTTATTTCCTTTTTTTTGTTTCTCATTTGAGATAAATTGGATTTAAACTGTTCTTCATTCTAAACATTCAGATAAGGTTTCTGTGGCCATGTAATCTCACATTCTGTTCTAGACCTCCATTGCCGCAATCATGTGATCGATTAAATAGAATAAATGGACGACCCGATATGAGAAATTCAAATAACTCGTTCTCCGCATTATTCAATTACCTAAATTGTACTTTCACTATTAAAAATATTCTTATCAAACTCAACAATTGATAATGCCCAGAAAATAAAGATTGCAGTTAAAATGTAGAACATAAGTAAATAATAAAAAATACATACAATTGGAAATAGAGTTTAACCCATTTTTAACTTCAGATTAAACGGGTATATTGATGATGATACACCTTACTCGCTTATAAACTGGTTTATAGGTAACACACACCATACACAATTTTATTTTATCACACACTAAACCCAAATTGCATTAGACATTTTGATTATCTAGGTTGATTTATGAAATTTCCTTTGTTGATTCTTGTGCATAATTATAATAAATGCCCTCTACCTCCCATTTTCGTTGTGATTTAGTTTGTGTGAGAATTTTCTAAAATTCAAAAACTAGTGAAAAATTCACTTAAATGAATGAATTTTTTTTTTTAAAAAAAAATTGCTTTGCAATTAGCAGTAATTTAAATAACATTTAAACAAGTAGAATTGTTTACTTATTAATTATAAATAACATAATTATATAAATGTGAAAATATATATATAAACTAGTCAAAAACACATTAATAACAAATTTTAAATTTCGAAAAACTTAAAATTGTTTAATATGATTTATCTTGGATTTAAATGTAGAAATTTACTGATATTTATAATGCTGATATTAATTACAACATTATCAACCTATTGTACTCTTCAAGAGAGACAAAAAAGTCCAGGTCCTGTAGTAGATGATCCAGGACCTTTAGCACCACCACCACCACCTGGTCCTTGTAAAAATTGTATTGACAAATGTTGCGCGGCTTTTATAACTTGCATAAATGGGCCAAATCCTAGTCTGTGTTCAGATGGATTAAAACAATGTAATCTTGATTGCGTTATGAAAGGTTGCAAAAATATGACCTATCATTTTGATTGCTTTGATCCAGAACCTTCAGCACCACCACAAAAAGGTCCAAGTCCGCAAGATCCAGGCCCACAAAAAGGCCCAAGTCCGCAAGATCCAGGCTCACAAAAAGACCCAGCAGGTTCACAAGGCTCGAATTCACAACAACCACCAAAAGGAAACAATGTAATGTGAAAGATTCAAAAGAGATAACAATGACAGCAATAACTCTCAACAAATAACGATAATCCTTCAGCAAACGACACCACCAAATATGAAGCATAACACATTTATAATTAATCTTTTTTTATATTTTCTTTAAATATTAAAAGTTATTGTATATAGTGCGTGAGTGCACTGATAGTTTCAACACTAGCATTTATCAATAATATCCCAGTAAAAAGTTTATGTTGATTTTTTGTATAAAAAATGTAAGTTACAAATTTAATACGATTATGAGCATCCATTTGTACAGTATTTGTAAACAATTTGTAGTAAACTTGTAATGTTTTATATAGAATTCAAAGTAAATTCGTCACAAACTTGCAATGTTTTTATGTAACATTCAAAATAAATTTGTATATTATTTTTACATGTTTGATTTATTATTCATATATGAATTACTGTATATATATGCATTTCATCATAATAAATAAACTAAGACGAAAAAAAAACTTACTATAACGGCATCCAAAGAGATTTGAAGAAATATCTATAAAGAAAAGAACTATTGATATCTGTTTGTTAATATTAAAGGAAGAATTTGAAAATTTGTGAAATGTCACATCCAGGAGACCAAAAAGCCGTCTAAAAAAGAGAAAGAAATAAGTAACCACTATTTTTAAAAGAAACTAAAAAAATAATACTCCCACTAAAGTCCTTGTCCAAAGAGCTGAAGAACTGCCTAAAAGAAGAAAAATCAAAGTGTTAGAAAACATTTTGTTAAATAAACGTTTTATCAAAGAATAATTCAAAAAAAACCTCTACCCTACCAAATTGTTACGCCAAAATTCCACGTCCAAGAAGACCGTAAGAAGCATCTAAAAAAAAAAAAGAAAAATTTGTTAAAATAGATAATTAAGATTTAAGAAAAAAAATTTCCTACCATTATTCCCACGTCCAAATATTCGAAGTCTAAAAAAAAAGTAAGAAAAACAACTATTAGAATTGTTCATTAAAATTAAACAATTAAAAAAAAAAATGAACTTACCAGAAATTTGCACCAAAGGAGAGAAATGCTTAAGATTTCTTCAACAAAAAGTGCGAGAAAAGTGGGAAAAAAAAGAGAAGGAAATGTAAAAGTAAAGGGAAAAGGGAGGAAAGGAAAAGGAAAGAACGAGGGAGAGACGAAGGAAGGTACAAAGGGAAGTGAAAGGGCGAACGAACTGAAGGAAAAGGGAAGAATGTGAAAAAAAAGCAAAAAAAAAGTTTAAAAAGAAAAAAAAGTTAAAAGAAAAAAGTTTAAAAAGAAAAAAAAGTTTAAAAAGAAAAAAAAAAGTTTAAAAGGAAAAAAAAAGTTTAAAAGAAAAAAGTTGATCGAAGTCATCGAACTGCGGATTATATCATCACATACTGACATACACGTGATACATATTTTTATAACGCGAAAATCATTACAAAAATAGTCTGAAGATCAATATAATTATAATTAATTACAGATTTATGCTACAAATTAGTACAAATTTATAAGTTTCATATGAATTTAAAAATTGAAAAAATTGTACGAATTTTGTTTAAATGAATATAATAAATAATAGTTGCAAAGTTAAAATATAAAAATTGTACAATTTCTGTTTATTAAATGTAATAAATCTTACAATAATTGTACATTTAAATTTTACAAAAAAATAAAATTTGATTTAACTATACGAATACTGAATGAAAATTGGACAATAATTACAAAAACTAAACAAAAATTGTACAATTTCCATATGATGACTTTTTACTGGGTATAAAAATAAATTCTTTAGGTAAACCTACAAATTTTCTTTAAAGGAGTATGGGATCCTTGTAAAAAGGAAATGGGCGAAAAATAATTAAAAAAGAGTTTAGTAAAAGTTTACCATGCGTTCATATTAATATAAGATTTTAATCTCGTATTATGCAATTTATTGATCACGTACCTTGGTTATTATCTTTCTTAATTATTTTTCATTAAAGAATGATCAATTTTTAGTTAGAACCTCTTTATCATAGTAAAAAATTTTTTCATGATATTATTTTATAAAATTCTTCATTCAAAACATGAAATAAAAATTATTTTTGATAAAAGAACAAAATGTCTAACTCTTATGATTTCTGTAATCTGTGTAATTTTCTTTTATTAGTTTAAGTTGTGTTTTCTATTAAATTTTTATTTAAATTTATCTAAAAAAAAAATATCAAAAAAAAATTTTTATACATTATTAAATTTTTTTCACGAAGTTCCACCATCAAAATTTAAACGATGTCCACATGAACTAGAATCATGACTCTCTATATTTTGTACTCACTTTTGCATATCATGACTCCGTCCGCCTATTACACAATTTGCGTGTATTGACAAACCACTTTCAATAGTAGGAATTCAAATGCACCATGAGTGGAATAAATACAAAAATTTATTAGATTAAAAAAAAAAAATAGGAAAACTTTTATTACTTTAAATAATTAAAAAGTATGGTGGAAGTAGAATAGCTCAGGGCACCCAACTCATCTTGACTTATTATTGGACACTATTATGATGTATCAACTAAAAAATTTAATTACTTTAGAGTTGCAATAGTTGCAATCAGAAATAATTGAATTAATTATACATCAAAAAACACAAAATCCTCCTTTAAAACTAGCAGACTTTACCAGTAACAAAGTTAGGATATCTGTTTGGGTTGGTTATTAAGTGAACGAATTTTCAGTAATAAAAAAAAAAATAAAAAAATAAAAATAAAAAGAATAAAAAAATATATATATATAAAGAATAAAAATATATATACTGTATATATATATAAAGAAAAAGAAATAAAAGAATAATGAAACTTTCAAAATATGATGGAAATATTCATCCTGATGAATGGATAATGCAAATTCAATTCTTAAAAGAAAATGATATTCTTAAAATTTGCGAAGATGATCGTTCCATGAACTTAATAATTTATTGAATTTAAAAAAAGAAGATTACGGATCAATATTAACTAGTATATTAACTAATTTAATAATTCATTTATTAGAGAATCTAATTTTATGAATGAATTAATTAGAAATTTTGATTGGATTATTCGAATGGTTAAAAATAATTCATGTATAGCTTTAAACTACATCGAATCCCCAATTCCTCATTCGTATTCAGTAAAGAAAACTTGTATGCCAACCAGTACTTTTACCTTCAGTTGTAATAATTTCCAAACCGTATACTACGGATGCGATCGCGTTCATAATATCTTCAAGGAATGCCAATCTGCTTATTTACTATGTTTTAATCGTGATAATAATTGTTAAATCACTGACATGTAAAACTTGTTACAATTATAATTAAAAAATTTGGTTAGCTAAAATTTAAAATTTTTAATATAAATGGCATCCTTAAAGTATTAAAATATTTAGTGCATTGTTCTTTAATAAAGAAAATCATTATTTTTATAATTGAATCAAATGTCTGAATGATTGGCTGTAGATTACACGCATTATCAATTAGATTTTACGAGTGACAACGTCAAAAAGTGGGATAATAAGTTATGTACTGTATATGTAATATCGCGAAACAAAAGTTTTGATGATCGTTAGTAATAGGCAATAACACTGAAAGGCTCATTTCCAACAATAATTTTTTTTTTTGTTAATTTATAAAGAAATTTGATAAAACTTTATTATATAATAAAAAAATTCGCATAAGCATTATAATATCATATAAAATTATCGTATAATATGTGACCAATAGATTCAGTAACGGAAATATTCATCACATATCAAGTAGATAGAGTTGTCGTGTAAGTGAATCAACGTTTAAGGAGTAGCAGTAGGAGGAACATCAGTACTGTTGCCAGGTGGTGTGGGACCACCAGGAGGAGGAGGAGTTGGAGGAGTATCAGGATCTAATGTTTTTAATCGGAGAATCGACGTTAGTATAAATGTTATGCATTATTTCCCATATTCAATCAATGTTGCGGAATGCTATAAGTTGGTGAAGTTAAAACCAACACCATCATTAAAAATACGAGCACAAAATTGTATTTAGATCCAAGAAGGAACATGTTGAATAATTTGTTTTTAAAATTGAAAAGTTTTTAAAATTGAATAATTTTTAAAATTGAATAATTTTTTTGTTTTTTTAAAACTTTATATCGGTTGTTAGTGTGCGGATTTGTCCTGCTTATATACATTTTTTTTCAAAAATGTACTGCCACGATTTAGATAAAGAAATTCATTCATTTAAGAATTAAATTTCTAATTTTGTGATAACTAATGGATGATTTCATTAAAAAATAAATAGATGATAAATAGATGATGTATTTACAAAGTAAACTACACCAAAAACAGGATACTATATTTGGTATAGTATATTGCCAAGACCAAGTGATAATAATACGGTTTGGGTTAGCAAATGGCTGATAAAAACAAATGGCTCTATAATCTATATATTTAGTTACTATAGGACCCAGAAATATATATACAGGGGTAGGTTACACAGATCATAGTAAAGTTTTGATTTGCGTACAATCTAAAGAATTTTCATCCATAGTTAGGTCATTAGGTCATCAATATTTGCGTATTTTTTATCGAAATTTTTATATGTAAAAAATTAGTTTGCTAATCTTATATATTTACTGTACGTTAACCGCATTGTAATATTTAGTATTAATTGATAATATAGAAGTCATTGATAAAATAATTAATAACTTAATGTCTGAATTTTATTTGCAGGATTTTCAATATCAGGTGTCAATTATGCATATAAAAAGTCTCTGCGTACAGTTCATAGTAAAAAAAATTTTTGCCACCTGACCCTTATATATATATTTCTGGGTCCTGTTACTATACTACTGTAAATGGAAAGAAATGGAAGTCATTCGAAGAATAATGAGACAGAACTTTTAAAAAGAGATTATCGTGAATAATCTTATGAAAATTAGTATGTATATATTTCACTTGTATTTTTAAAGCTAAATCAATGATTTTTATCGGTCGAATTATTCTCATAGAAAAAATTGATTCCTTAGGAAGGTGTATACCATAATGAGTTAATAAAACGAAATCATAATTCCGTATTTACGCATAATTTTTTATTGAACATGTTAATAGTTAATCATTTTCTTTTCTCGACTATTTTAGGTATAATAATGATCTCCGATCTCCGGTTTTGACGCCTCATAATAAGTATAAATAGTGGTGTTAATGAAAGTAATCTCGTTTCGGTCTTATATCTTTCTTTCAATATCAATCTAATAAAAATTTTCATAAACGCCTAATGATTTTTTTTAGTATCTTTACTAGATCGCAAAATCCTTTAACCAATCCGCAATCGATTTGTTTATTTATTTGTTAAAAACAATTAACCCTGCCTTTTTCGGCTCATTGTGGATAAACCAAAGTCCTATTTCGTTATGGTTAGCGTTAGTATATTTTAAATTGCTAAATAAGGCGAACTGGAAAATTAGGTCGAAAATGTGGCAAGAAAAATAAGTTTAAATATTAATTACATAATTTAAAATATACATAATTAAAATGTAAAAATTTTCGTGAATCTAAAGATACTCTTTTACACGATGATAATTAGCCGTAATAAGAAAACAAAACATATCAGATATGAGTCATTTTATTGACGGTACTATAATTATTAAAATAATTTTCCTCGTCCAATAGTTTACGTGTTAAATTTATTACGATAGAGAAAACAAAAGAATTTCTCTCACTATGCCATAATGAGTTCACAAATAAAGACTTTTACTAACAATTTTACAATCGGAGATAAAACTTAATATGACTTTAATTAGTAACGTAAAAAATGTTTGGGAATGAAAATGTTATTTAAAGAAAAAGAATTAGTGTAATTTAAGAAAGAAATGTATTAATTACAACCTAAGATAGGGACCCGCGTTAGTAGAGAGATTTTTAAATCTCATTGGTTCTTACTATAACTAATGAACATTTTATAAATAGAATAATTAATCATAAACAGTAGGTAATAAATAAGTTTCTATAAATTCAATATATAACGTTTTACTTTTTTATCTAGATTGAATTACTTGTGATTGTCTACCTCATTAACTTTTTTTAATATTACATTAATACAATAAATTTAATTTACAAATAAAACACATTTTCTTTTTTTATGCCAATATCATAAAAATAAATGTTGCAATGATTACAGCTAAACTTAATGTAACATCCCATAAACCATAGATATTAAAATTGTACAAAATTGTAGTACAATCTGAAGCAACTGTATTATTATTTGCGGGTTCAGTAGGTTCAGTAATTGCAATACTCTTCACTATGTATAGAGTGGATGGAAGGATGGATGTAGACGATCCCAGAGAGTTAGTTGTTGTGTACCCAGCAAAATATGATGTAAGTGTTGTTATGGTTGTTGTCAATTTTACGTTATTAGGGACTTGTGTTGGTGTTTCTACTCCTTCCTTTGTAATAGTAGTAATTATTGGAGCACTGCAAATTTGTATTTCATTTTTTTAATATTTTCAAAGAAAATAAAAAAAAAAAAAATGATAAAAGAAATAAAACTTACATTCCTGGTGGAAAACATTTAGGATCACTAGAGGAGGAGCAAGTAATTATAGGTGTTTTTACTGGCGGTTTAATAGAACTAGATGGCACAGTTTTGGGCGAGTTACAATCGTAATAAAAATTATCTACATCTTTGCAATCTCCCACGTTGCAATCAATATTACATTTTTTTAATGCATCTTCGCATAGATTAAGATTAGAATTGGTGCCTTGTATACAACTTGAATAAGGTGCACAACATTTGATAATACAGTCCAAACAAGGACCAGGAGGAGGAGGTGGATTATTTGGATTTAACACAGGTTCTTCAGGTGTACTAGGTGTTGGTCCTGGAGGTGGTTGTGGATTTTTTGGATTTTTCACAGGTTCTTTAGGTGTACTAGGTGCTGGTCCTGGAGGTGGTTGTGGATTTTTTGGATTTACTTTAGGTGTACTAGGTGCTGGTCCCGGAGGAGGTGGTGGATTTTTTGGTATAGGTGTTGGTTCTGGGTTATTGCAATTTAGATAATAAGTTATACCTTTGCATCCTCCCGCGTTGCAATTGATATTACAATTTTTTGACGCATCATTGCATGAAGTAGGATTAGAATTTGGATCATTCAAACAAGTTCTGTAACTTGCACAACAGTTGTCAGCACAGTCTTTACAAGGACCAGGTGGTGGTGGTGGATTTTTTGGATCTATCACCGGTTCTGGTGCCTGCCTCTTTTGAAGAGAGCAATAAGTTGGTGACGTTGTAATTAATGTTAATATTATTAATATTAATATAAATATATATTTATATCCAAGTCCATTATGTGTCATATTAAATAATTTTAAATTTTTCGAAAATTTTTAATGAGATTTGATAATAACGTTTTAGACTTATTTATATACAATTTGTAATTCAGCCATTTCTATGTATGTAATCCCGCAATTCTATGAAAAAAAAAAAAATTTTTTTTTTTTTTGAAAAAAATGGGCTATGTAATGTACTCAAACTCGTTTTTATGTGTTACATTGTTGATACCATTTGGAAAATCATGAAAAGCAAGACAAAATGATCATAAATTAAAGTTTTGGATCCGTTCAACTCAGTCCTTTTTAAGGAATACGCCCTAAACATCCGGATCGGCTACTAACTTTTATGTCCAAAGCTTGAATGATTTTTTAATTTTAACCTTGATATATATATATATATATAAAATGTGAGGGAAAAAACTATGTTACAACGTATTGTTACGCAAAGTAACATATAAAAGAAGGTAATGTAAAATTAATTATTATCCTTTTTTTAGAAAATTCGAATATCAATTTGGAATTTCTTTAATAGAACCTTAAATTTCCGAAAAATTTTACATAATCCATTCATATTCAAAAATGGATAATATTTTACTATAAATATTACTCCCGGAAAAATTGGATTGTTAGACCAATATGGAAAGGTCAAAGAAAAAGTATCATTTTATGAAAAATTCTTTGAAAAATTCTTTGATTTAATTTACTTAATATTTGAGAATAAAAACAAAAAATTTCTAAGATATATTTAATTATTTGATACTCGGCCAATATGTGTCAAACAAGAAAATTAGATTATCATATTTATTAGTGTGTTTTGATTAATAATCTTTTTCTTTTTTTTTTGCGTCGTGCATCTGATTGTAATTTATCTAAGATTTTCAGAAATAAAAACAGTGCATATGAATAATTCATTTTAAAAATATCTATAAGTGATTACCGGCATATGATCGATCCATTTCCGTAGAATTTCTATATCTATAAAATTTTGGAAGGCGTCTTCATCACATCAATGGCTTTTTATTTCATCTTAAGATGGCAATGATCGAATCTACACCATCCGATATTTGTGATCGATCATGTGCGGCCATCAATTAAACATTTGTAATATGTGGCTCGCACTATTATAATTTCGGCCAACATTAATTATTCCGATAGGATCCATTTAGGTTAAATGCGCATTAAAATTATTAAACTTCAAATTTCAATGAATTTTAAAAATATGGACATTTCAAGTTGTTGAATCAAAACATATATAGATGAGAGTATTATTTGTCTAACGAGAGATATCTACATATTTGATTGGTTGAATGTCACGTGATAAGAATAATTATCTGACTGTATTAACTACAGTATTACTATTTTAACCCGTAGCTCTCATCAGACTTCTAGCTAAACCTTTGTGTACCTTATTATGATTTAGTTCTTAAATTAGCATAACGACTGTAGATTTGTGGCAATTCCATATATGATAGGAGTGGCATCTGCCTTATGTTTCGCAGCGCATTTTCACATTGATCAAAATTCTGAGCGATAGCTCACAAGATAGATAGTTGACAACAACAATATAAAATAGTATATTTAAAATTATGATAATTGTGGATAACTCAAAATATGGTAATCAAGTTTATTGAAGTCAATTAATTTAACGAAAAATAGATTTATTGCAAGCTTTTTGACTAAAAATTCATCGAATGTGATTTTCTTTTTTTTTTTTTTGAATGAAACAAATAATGATATATGGTAAATAGTATCTATTATATAATCTATACATAATATATATCTTACAATAAAATTACAATTTTTAATAAAAAAGTTCGTGAATTTGTTGTTGCATTTGATTATTTGACTTCTTAATTTTATCATTGTTATTACTATTATTACTTAAAGGTAATATAAATTCGTCTAAATCTCCAAAATTTTGTTTGGATTTTTGATTATTATGGTAACTATTATTGGAGGATGATTTTAAAGTCTCTAAAAATGAAAGTCCAGAATTTGACATCCAATTATCCTGATTCGTTGATGTATTATTATTTAACATCCAATCATCATTTAAATTTTGATTTTCCATATCATTTGCTGATACCATTTCGCCAAATTCTGATGAGATCGATGTGGAACTACCGTTCATTGAAGATGTGTATAATTGTTTAGAGTTTGAATCAGATGCACTATTTGGTTGTTGATTTTCCTGTTTTTCCCTTTTATCATCATTAGCTATCAATTGTGATATTGATTGTAGAAAATCATTTGGAGTTTTCTGCGGTTGTACTGGTTGCACATTTGAAGATAGATCTAAATCAAATTCTGAAAAATCAAAAAGTGAATTTTGTTGAGATTTACGAGAATTTGATGATGTGGGTTTCGTATTATTAGTTAAAGATTCCAAAAATGAAAGATCAGTAGAAAATATCCAATTATCTTCTTGTTTTTGATTTCCAAGATTACTCAAATTATTATCGTTATTAGCTAAAACTGATTCTGAAGATAACGATGAATTGTTCTTTGTGTCATCTAACATTTTTTCAGAGTTTAATAAATCATCGTCATCGTTTAATTTTGTATTCACTCTCGATGAAGTCGTATTATTCTTAATGGACGATGAATGATCATTTAAATTTGAAAAGAAGCTTTGTTGATTCAAATCATTTGACGGTCGGGAATCTAAACCCATATCTCTAAAATTTGAAATATCTTCGTTTTTCACAGGCGTGATATGCAAACCATTAGAATTATTTTTTTCATTTGTTTTTTCTGAAATTATCGTATCGTTTATTAGATCGTCTAATAAATTTGCGGAGACGGGAGGTTTGACGCTTGATGATGATGAATTTTCCTTAGTTGATATCAAAGTATCATTGGATCCAAATACATGAGACTTCAAGGAACCAAGTTTCGCACTTAAATTGGTTGAATTTCGACCAATCTTTGCTATAACGCTATCTATTCGAGAATTATTAACAGGTGGCGTCGGAGATTTTGTTTTGAGATCAAGAAAATCTTCAAAAAATGATTCAGACTTTTGCTGTGTTTTTTTCTTGTCAAATTTACTTGATACTTTAGAAGTGAAAGATTCCAAAAATGAAATGTCTGACATCGATATCCAAGAATCTCTATTCGAATCTCTACTTTGTTCGTTATCATCATTCTGTATTGGAATATTATTAGTATCAACAAAAAGTGTCTCCGTTGAACTCTCCTCATATTGTTTTGTCATATCACTATGAGTAAAATGATTTGGAGATGGGAAATCATCGTTAAATAAATCGCTACCGGGAAGTCGATCCGCTGGTTTAATCGCAGAAATAGAATTAACGGATTCCAAAAATGCCTTTCTAATCCGCGAACCACGCCATGAAAATTTAACTACACCGCCTTGATCACTCCAAAGTTGTATAAATGAACTCCAATTTAATTTAGTATCCATCATTCTAATGAATTAAAAAGAAAAAATTAATTAGGTAATCAAACATATTCAACAAACCTTTTTTTTTAAGAGACTTACTCATGTGAATTATATACAAGATCTTCAATTGACACAGGTCTTTCATTATTGACGCTTTCATTTGATATTTGTAAATCATATATTTTATCCAAAACGGAAATCCACTCAGCAACAGTATTTGTTGTGGACTGTTTATGAAATAAATGAAAAAAAAGTCAGTAATTTTTTTTTTTTCAGAAAGGTTTTTCTCGAGACTGAATATTTTTTACCATGAAATCTTCTAAATCCGAGCTTAATCCTTTTTGTGACACTAGATTATTACCGAAAGGAATTTTTTCGTTTTTTTCGTTATTTTTAGAATCATCAAAATCGTCATCATTATCAGAAGAAGATTTTTCATTTCCCTGACAACTATCAATATCATTTGTATTTTCGCTCTTAAATTCACTAAAATCATCAAAATTACTCTCATTTTCTTCACTACATTCAAAAGCACCAAAATCATCATCTTCATTTACAACAATCTTTTCTGAATTTTCATTTTCACATTGCTCATATAAATCCTTATTTTCATTAAAAATTTCATTATTATTTAATTCAAGTTTTATATCAGAATTCGTAAATATATCAAATTCTTTTGATAATTCTTTTGATGATGAAATATTATCTTTTCCTAAATCAACATACTCAAAACTTTCGGAATTAGTTAATTCATTCGAATCTTCACTATCATGATCTCGTTCTTGATGAGAAGGAAATGATTCATCATTTTTTGATATCGTTGATACATTATCTACTTGTGATTTTGAAATAGTTGGTGAATCAGGAACTATAAAAGGTACACTAAAAATTGATTGATTATTTGGCATTCCAGCAACAACTTGTACATCAGTCCAAACATTTTCTTCAAAATCATCTTTCTTATTTTCAATTATTTCATCCTTTTTAGTAATATCTGATTGAATATCTAATTGACTATTATGTTCCTCCCAAACATTACTCATCGTAGTATTATCAAACTCAGAAGTTGTTGATTGCATATTCCAAGAAAATGATGAAGACCATATTTTCGTATCTTCATGTTCTATTGTCATAAATGTTGGTGATATCGGTGATGATACAACATCATCACCAATAAACTCCGGCGTAACTGGTGTTTTAGGACTTTCTACTTCTACTACATCCTCATTTTTTGTTTTATTTGTTGGTTTACGAACCATTTTTTTAAGAATTGGAAATTTCAACATTTTTCCGGAATAATAACTAACCTCCGTTTTATTTTATTATTTTATAGAAGAGGTAAAAAAAAAAAAAAGAAAACTTTTTTGAAAAAGTGGCTGTGTAAAAATCTTTCTAATAAGATAAAAAAGAAGAAATAAAAAAGATGGTTGTAAAAACGGGTAAAAAAACGGTCCTAATACTACGTCTGTTGAACAAATGCCAAGACAGGTTAAAATGAGCAGGTATGACAAACATGCGTATCAATTTAAGGCTTTGCAGCCAGTAGATATTCAATATTTGAACATAGCCGCACATACTACGGATCGTATCACAAATCAACTAATATAAATATCAAAAATTGGATACCGGAAAGAACTTATTCGTAATTTGCGTGCGGATCGTGTTGAAAAAAAAAAAAATTCCTGTACAGCTCAAAAGAACAGCAGTAAAAATGGTTAAAAGTATTAACCGATATTATTACTAGCAAATATAGTATGTTTTAATACTAACACGTGACTGAATTTTATTTATAACTTGATTGAAGAGGTTGAAACAAGTTACTCCGAGTTTTATTTAATTTTGACCGATTTTCGAAATTCTTTTAGAATTTGTAGTTAGGTAAGCCAAAAATTTTTTAACTTTTCGTAGTAATCAATCTTATATCAATGAAACGTGTATTATGTGTATTATTAAACTTTTTTGAGTTATAAAATTATTTGTTATATACCAAAATTAATTAATTTGTTTAAAACGAAAGTCCGTAAAAAGAGGGAATTTTTTCAATAAATTGTTGTTACAATTTTATATTTGTTATGTACATATTTAATAATACAACCGATCTAGTTTTCGTCAAATTCTGTGGACATCGAGATTTGAGCTTTTCTAGAATCAGGAATATAGTAAACGTACGCTTGATCTTAGCACTACTCGCTGATTTAAATCATTAATTCTTTATTATTATAATAAATTCTGCAAAAAAAATTATCTTGAAATTAATTTTATAGATATGATTTCAGAGTAATCAGTAAATCATGATTATTTATACCACGCCTCGCTGTAATATGTATTTATGATAAAACTAAAGATAAATAAACTTGAAGATCGTTTTTCGTTTATCACATAAAAAAAGATATCAATTGTAACCAAACATAGACGAGTGCTATCATACGATACTGTGAGAACGTGTCGTTTGGGCTAATATATTAAGTAATCAAGGATTAAGTACGTTTAAGTATATGTTAGTATGTTACGCAAATGAAATCATATTACTGATTACTGAAAAAAGATTTATTACGTCGTAATAATCAGCCAACGTTTTTTTTTCCCTTGAACGCTATTTTGCTCCAAAAAAAAAAAAAAATTACAAATTGAAAAGAAATAAAAGAAAAGAAAAAGATTATGGCGTCAAGATTACCAAATGAAACTTTACAACATATATTTAGTTACGTAGAAGATATCAAATCATTATATTCGATTATTCAAGTAAATCATGCTTGGAGTCAAAATTCCATCAAATTTTTATATAAAAAACCATTCCGGAATGATATCAAGTTGAATAATCAAATAGAGATCATTTTTAGATTTTTACCTTTTATTGAAAAGGACAAGGATTTAGGTAAACACTTGAGAAAATTTTTATTAGACGAAAATGATGATGATGAAAATTTAATAAATGATGATTCACGGGAAAAGGTGGTGGAAGATTTTGCTTTACCAAAACATGCTATGTTTGATTATCCTAGTTTTGTTACACATCTGGATTTTCAAAATCTTTTTAGTGTTGTTACAGAATTTTTCATTATATATAAAGAAGTATTTGATGTTTGGAAAATAGAAAAAAAAAGACAAGCGGAACAATCCGAAAGCCAAGAATCTTCACCTATATTAGAACCTTCTAAACTAGATAAGATTTTAAGTTATATTTTAACAATTTTAAGAATTATTGCAACTAGAAGGGCTAATATTATATGGCTGAAAATTGATTTGAGATATAAGGATGTTAGAAGATTTCTCAATACCAATAATGATGATGATAATTGGGGTGGTGATGATTCTGAAGAAAATTTTGACTCTGATGAAGAACACGTTGATATATTAAAGGTCACAAGATTTTATAATACAATCTTTAGGATTGAGGATTGTCTTAAATATCATTTGAAGATGGATGTAACGAAGAATTGTTTTACAAGATTGGAATATTTAAATTATGGTCGCATATTTTCAAAGTTAAATGTTTTGAGAATTTTATCAAATACTTGCAAATCTTTAAAAACGATTCAAATTGAAGAACATGATTTACCTAATATTCAGAAACCATTAACGTCTTTAATCAAAAATCAACATCAACTCGAACATATTAGAATTATTGGAGATGATAATTCAAGGGACGATTATTATGATGAAGGCGTATTTGAAATCATGTCATCATTAGAAACGGTAGCTGGTACGCTTAAAAAAATTGAATTTTTAAAGATATGTGTGAGGAACGAGGAAGCATTCAAATTTTTAATCAGATGTGAAAATTTAGAATCTTTATATTTAGAAGATTCATACATTACATTAAAGAATATTGAATGGATTTCTTCAGCAGATTTATCAAAATTGGGATGTTTAAAGTTAATTAACAATCAAAGTAATGAAGAATTGTCTGTCATGAAAATTAACCCATTCGAAAAAATTTTTCAAAATAAAAAAATATCTTCTAGTTTAAATGAAATTCTTTTACAAAATCCGTTCATGAATAATTTTAATCTTTTGAGATCTGTTGGGGAAAATTGTAGAAATCTTGCCTTCTTCTCTACATATGTTATCACGGAACAGGATATAAAAAATCTTTTCATTATCCTAGAAAATTGTTCAAAACTAGAATTGCTTAATTTTTGTTACATTTCAGAAACATATACTATCAAAGATGATTTTATCATTAATTTGGCAAAGAAATTACCCGGGCGTCTCCTTTGTTTAGGACTTTATGGTTTAATTAGATATGTTTCTGAATTTCGATATTTTTTAGAAAATTGTGCGGTTAATTTGAAATTATTGGTTGTTAGGAATTCTAATGGTTTTGACAAATTTGCAGAATATGAGGAATTTGTCAGAGGATGGTCGGAAGAAAAAGGCATCACGATAAAAGAATTTAGGAATATTAGTGATAAGGATCTATTCTTGATTAAATGGGAATGAAATGCGAATTATCGTATTTATTTGATGATTCTTTTTTTTTTTTCTCGTGATTAATGAAGAACGAAAATAAATTTTTATCGAGTATCTTTATATCATGATATAAGGTTTTATAAAAAAAATTTATTGAAAATTCTAGAAATCATTTTCAGGGACTTTTTGTTTATTTATCATTGGAAAGTAATAAAAATATCAATTAAAATTCTACTCTATATTTACGAAATTTAAACAACTTGAACGATTTATTTAAATCCAAGACTTGAATAGAAACATGTTTTTTAAGTTCACTTTTGCGTTTCATTTATTAATACTAAAGAAGTATTATATATCGATATGTTTTTCTGCATTGTTGTATTTTGCGATAATTTTTAAGTTTGATATATTAATTTAATATTTAGTTCGTCATTTGAATGATACGATCGACTAGTCAAGATGTTTGGCTGTGGTGACGATGGTCGGAATAATAAAAATTTTTGCACCGTCGAGGCTAAAACACGAATTCTTCACTTGTGACATTGGCATTTCATTTCAAACTGATAAAGTATATCTTTAACAAACCTTTCTTATTCTAGCTTTCATTTCTAGTTAATCTAACGAAACAGAAATATGCAAAAAAAAATATTACTTTTGTGTGAATAAGTATCCTTATCAACCAAAAAGAAAAATATCTTTGTTATTGGAAATTTGACTGATATGTTTGTTATATTTGTTAAATTACTAATATCTTTTAGGGATGAGAGATCATTTTTATAAATTCTTTTCGCTCACTTTTATTTTTTCTTAGACGCTTCAATATAGAGTACAAAAAAACTGGGGCAAATTTATTTGGTTCTTTAGGATACGATAAAAATATTATTTGAAACTTTATTTATGTATTCATAACAAAGTGATATTAAATACTGATAATAAAAAATAAATACATTTAAAATAATAATGCGTTCTTTACGTATTCTTTTACGCAATAACCATGAAAACTATAGTTGTAATGGCTATAAATAAACTCATTGTGATACCCCATAAGCCATGACTATTAAGATCATGTAAAATTGTAGAGTCCGAAGCCACCATCACAGTCTCGACAGAAGCTTTAGTAACAATAGCAACTTCATTCACCACTAATAAGCTGGATGGAGGTACGATAATAGGTTGTCCTAGAGAGTTTGTCGTTGTATAACCAGCGACATACAACGTAGATGTTGATTGTGTTGTTGTTAATACTTCATTGCCACTAGGTGGTGTTGGTGTCTCCACACCTGGTTGCGTAAATGTTGTAACTACTGGAGTACTAAATTTTGTAAAATAATTAATCATTATTACTCTCAAAGAAAAACGAATTAAATTATTAAAACACATGTACTTACGATCCTGGTGGGAAACATGCAGGATCATTAGAAGTAGTGCAAGTATGAACTTCTTGAGGTGGAAATGGTGGAACTGGACCTAATGAATTAGTTGGAGATTGAATTGGAACGGGTGGAATAGGTGTAGTAGGTGGAACGGGTGGAATAGGTGTAGTGGGTGGAACGGGTGGAATAGGTGTAGTGGGTGGAACGGGTGGATCGGGAATAGGTGTAGTAGGTGGAACTGGTGGAACGGATGTTGGGTTAAGTGGTTGATCAGTATCTATAGGAGGAGGACTTGTTTTAGGAGGATCAGGGGTTTTAGGTTCAGGGGGTTCAGATTTAGGAGTAGAAGTAGGAGGATCTACTGGTTTAGTGCATTCATGATTTTTATAATTGATTTTTACGCCATCACAATGTTCCAATTTGCAATTATCATTACAAGTTTCTAATTGATGATTATTTTTATAATTATTACAACATTTATCGAGACATTTTTCACATTCTTGTTTACTATTTCCATAAATTGGCAATATAAAATTGAAAGTAATTGATAAAAAGATTAAAAATAAAAGAGTTTGATTATATTTCATCTTGAATATTTATTTTAAAAAGTTTATAAAACTTTAGTGAATTCTTTTGAACGTCTGAAAACATCTTATTTTTATATTAAATTTGAAGAAAATTTGAATTACATAAAATATGATATTGTTATTTATTTTAATATTATGTAAAGTACCGATTTATCTAAATTTATCATTTTGTATGTTTAATAAAAAATTTTACTTGTACGAAGCAATTTAAAATTAATGAATTAATTGATATTAAAAAAAACAAAATATATAACTTAAAAAGGTACTTTTTTTTTGTTTTTACTAATTTTAAATCTAGTTATCATGGGAAAAATTCGTCATCATAAATTTAAAGTCATAACAGATGACGAAAGTAAAGAACTTTTAAAAAACAAAAAAGTTTTTTTACTTTTTCACCGATATTTATTGATGATCTTAAGAAACAATAAAATTATAAGCCTAATTACTTTAAAAGGGAATTTTTCATAACTAAGCGTCATGATCATCATTTTGCAAATGAATATGAATTTTCGGTGTGATTGGTCAACGGATCATCCCCGATCTCGATCTTGATTTTAAGTGGTTTAAGTTGGACATTTGTTTAACATACCTTAACATAAGAATGCTATTTATAGTTTCTTGCGGGTACTTCATCGCAAACAAAAAAAAAGTAGAAAGAACAAATGATGCTTCCATATGAAGGAAATTGACAAAAGATAATTAACGCCTCAATAAAAAAGTGACTGGATCCGGAGAAACAATCCGACTATCTATCTTATCACACAATTTCTAAAGAATGTTTATTAAATGTTTAAGTTGACATCATTATCTAAGAATTATACACACAAATGCACAGATTAGGTATTATACTTTTTTTTTTTTTGATTATTGTAAATAACTTTGCATGATTAGGAGAAAGAAAAAGCGCGAGGAAACCACGCGGTTATTCGTGGTTAAAATATAGAAAGAACGTTCTTTTTTCGTAGTATGATATAAGCATTGTTTTATGCATTAAATTAGTAGTAATATTGTTATAATCCATCTTGCCACATTCTAGAAATTTTTGTTACAACAAACTTTTACGTGTAACAAATTTTTGATTTCCCAATTAGAATTTGATAAACCAAAAATGATCATTCATTTAAAAAACAAAAATTTTATTCATAAAGGAAAAAAAGCAATAATTTACCAAATAAAATATTTTGTACGACTATAGATAAAATGCAAAGGTAATACGAAAATTTCAGATTTTTACTATTGATTATGTAAAGACAAAGTCACGTGACATTATTGTTATATTATATCCTTAAAATAATAAAAATCGCATAATGTAAGCCAGCAAAAAGTAAGTGAAAGTGTTTTAGGCTTTGACAATGAATTGATTTATGATATTTATAATTCGAAAAGTTATCAAATACTTTACGCATTTAAATGATTTGAAAATTAATTATTAATTAATAGATTAAGAACTTTTGATAAAATAATTATATGTTAGGTCAACGGACGTGAAGTATGATGTAATTATTACTGGATTTCTTTTTATATAATGTTTAATAATAGTTAACTCGAATTATAATATTTATCGTGTCGTTTTCTTTATAAAACCGGTTTTTTTATCTTTGCTTCCACAAAAATGATTTTTTTGGAGTTTACAAAGTTGTAATACGCTCAATGTTTAAAAGAAGTTTAATGAAACATTCTTGCAAATGATACGGCAACGGATCTCCCGATAATCTAGAATGTAAAATTCTGTTGCACCTAAACGATTTAGATAAGTGAAAGAGGGGAGTTTATTGAATTATGATTTATGAGAAAAATATTAGAGTGAATGTTCATTATGGATGAGACAAAGGAATTCGGTGAACAGCGGGCGGAAGTATGTAACGTTCAATTGCGGGTTACTATAAATGGAACGTTAAACAGTCTGTTCTTTTTAAAAAAAATGCAAATTGGGATATTTTAAATTTTACTTTACTACTATTTTTTTTCATTTGTAATAGAAATTAAAATGAACGGAGAAATGAATCCGAGAATAATCATCTTATCAATTTCTAATCGCGCTTTTAAAAGAAAATAGCTACTTAAATTACTGGTATAACATCATTTATCGGATCTTTTGCCTTTATATTTTCTTAGAACAATTTATTGGATACTTCTTTCAAACTTTTCTTCTTTCTTGCGGTAATTATTATGTATTGTTTATATCGTTTATAATGGTTGTAGTTTTACAATAAACGGAAAATAAAGTCCGCTTTGATCAGAAAATATTATATAGTATATATTACGCTCAATATTGTCCTATTTTATTTTTACTACATTCGAACTGAAGTTTTACTGAAGTTTTAAAATCTTAATATTCTTCGTAGATCCGAATCCGAAATATTTGTCACACAGTCATACAATAATATAAACATTTGTTTCAGGAAATAACTCGTATTGTTAAAAAAACATAAATACATTACTAAAAATGAAAGTTCATTGTAATTTAAAAACTAGCACAAAACAATAACATTTGTGCGATAGTATTACGAATTACAATTTTCGGTTAATAATTATTTTACTAAATTTATTGGAAAATAAAATGACAAATGTCTATAAAAATAAAATTCCTTTTTTAGTAACCAGGACGTATTTAAATTATTTAGCAAAGAATTGATATTTACTTGTTTTACCTTGTATTAATTATTATTATGAGGAAAATATGTTTTATTACTCATAAAAATTTTGATAAAAAAAATGAAATTAGCAATTAGCAATGTAATGAATTATGATTGGTTAACCCGCAAAACTTTATTAATTTATATGCGGTCAAACATTTGGCGCAGTAAGCCTTTCCTTCTCAAATATATATACATATTAAAAAAATAAAACTACATTTATGTAGTGATAGTTGAAATCTCTCTGCGGCGGGTCATAAGAAGGTAAATCGATACTGGCCTACGTAGGCCTTGAGGGTTTTTCTAGAGGACACAATTGTCACAATGATTTAATATTGCTACGCAGATATTGATAGTAATTGATACTCACTTGTCGGTAGTATAAAAGAAAGTCTAATAAGTTATCATCCAATTGTGGTTCTGGAAGAATATTATATGTATTAATGTGATGCTTGTCAGGATCAATGAAAAGATCTTACGCTTAAATTACGTATTCCAAATTTAGTGTGTATTCATAGAGAATATCTTCTGCAAACTTTCCAGAAGGTAGTTTCCATTAGTTCTCTGGACATATTTTATGATATCTTACTGAATATTTTGTCTTTCATCTTATTTATTTCTTCAGTAATTAACCTGCTTGCCTGCTTGTCTCGTTCAATTGCTTCCGCATTAACCCATCATAATTATAATTAGGAGTCTCTTCATCATCATCACTATCTGCACGTCCAGCATCACCATCCACGTATTTATCAAATGTAAGATTCTTAGACCTCGCTTGTGTCAGTCCCATCACTGTCTGTTTCTTTATCATTTTCACTTCTTGTGATTAGGGAACAAAGGGACTTGAAGATAACATTTGATGTTTGGGCATTTGGTGGAAGAGGGGCTTAAAATAATTAATAAGCTTCCAGCAATGCCACCAATTCCTAAAGAGTTTCCTGATAATGTCGAATTGTGGATGATGATTGAGGAACCACCACCTATTACACTTGATTTGCGTTTCTGCTCCCAATTTTTGGATGTTTTTGGTCAGTTTTAGAGCCCAAAAATTTATGCGAAAAAAAAAATGATTAGTATGTTGAGTATTTATTAAGAAGGTTAATTACAGCTGCGCAATTTTTTTGTCATATGGGTTGGTTGTGACTTTGTGAATTGATTCGATCTTGCGAAATTATATCTTCTATACAAATGTATCATCTTACTTTAAATCTCTTTTTTCATAGCGAATAAATTCCATAAAGACTAATATTTGGAGAATAGGAAATAAATTTAGTAGTAATTAATAAATTTAGAAAATTTCCAGAACCTTGAGCAGGATAAAATTTAACTTTATAAAACTTCCTCACGGTTCACGTAGCTCATCAAAAAAGTTTACGGCCATTTAGGCTCATTTAGATACCTTTTAATAATGAACTACTGCGTCTACCTCTCACCATTTTCTTTAGCTTTCTTATTGCCATTAACATGTTACTATTTATTATTAAGACGTTAATAATTTACTTACAAAATTTTCAAAAAATTTTCGTTTTTCCATTTTACCAATATCAAAGTAACCAAATTCATTGTTTTCAATTCTGATTGTCACGCGTATATAATTTTTTTCTTGGGGTAGTTATAAAAAATATGTGAAAAAAATCAACCAATGCTTTCTATAATCAGTTATTTACACATGATTATGATTTATAATGTTTTAAGATACAGATTTCAATCTATTTTTCAGCAAATAAAAATTAATGTTCAATACATCTGTATTAAAAATAAATTTAAGCGACAAATACCTATTAACAAACACATTTACATAAATCATTTATTAAGTAAATTTAAAAATTTTTATTATATGAATACATAAATTATTAAATAATAAGCAACAAGAAGTTAAACGTTTTCTAAGCATTTGTTCTTTTACGTAATAACCATAAAAATTAAAGTTGTAGTGACTATAACTATACTCATTGTAACACCCCATATACCGTGGCTATTAAAGTCGTGTAGGATTGTAGAATCCGAAACCTTCACAGTAGTAATAGGAGCTTCAGTAACAGCAATATTTTGTATCACTAATAAAATAGATGGTTCCGCGATAATGGTTTGTCCTAAAGAATTTGTTGTTGTATAACTAGGAACGTATATTGATGATGTTATTTGTGTTGTTACCAAATTTACAATATCACCAAGGGGAGTTGGTGTTTCCACACCCGGTTGCGTATACGTTACAACTGTTGGTGTACTAAATTTTGCAAAATATTTATTAATACTCTTTAAGGAAAAAAAAAATTGTATAATTTATTATAAAAAGTATACTTACGATCCTGGTGGGGAACATACAGGATCATCAGAAGTAGTACAAGTCGTAATTTCTTGAGGTGGGAATGGTGGAACTGGACCTAATGGATTTTCGGGCTTAGGTATAGCAGAAGGTGGTGATAGTGGGGTTGGTGCTACTGGAGTTGCTAGTGGATTAACTCCTGGGTCTTTTGCTGCTGGATCTTTTGCTGCTGGATCTTTTGCTGCTGGATCTTTTGCTGCTGGATCTTTTGCTGCTGGATCTTTTGCTGCTGGATCTTTTGCTCCTGGATCTTTTGCTCCTGGATCTGGTCCTGGTCCTTTGGTCGTATCTGGGCCTGGGCCTGGTCCTGGTCCTGGACCTCCCGGACCTGGTCCTTTAGTCGCTGGGCCTGGACCTCCATTATTACCGTTGTTGCCTTCATTATTACCGTTGTTTCCTTCATTATTACCGTTGTTGCCGTTGCCTTCATTATTACCGTTGTTGCCTTCATTATTACCGTTGTTGCCTTCATTATTACCGTTGTTGCCTTCATTATTACCGTTGTTGCCTTCATTATTACCGTTGCCTCCCCCACATTTTTCTTTATAGATTTCATGGTTAAAGTCTATATTCTTACACTTTTTTGATTTGCTGCAAGTAGTACTACAATCACCAAATTTATGAGGATTTCCATTACAACATTTCGTAAGACATTCAGTACAAATTGGTGGTGTTGTAACTATTACTATTTCTAATTTCTCACATTCATAATAATATCCTAAATTCTTACAATCTTTTAAATTGCAAGTATCAGTACAATCATGAAAATCTTTATGTCCTTCAGAATCTTTACAACATTTATTAAGACATTTGTGACAAACTTCCATTGATGGGATTGGGCAATTATAATCTTCAATATCAATGTCTATACCATCACAATGGTCTGTTTCACATATATTTTTACATGATTTCAAATCATCAAAATTACTATTACAACATTTATAAAGACATTTGGTGCATTGTGGTTTACTATTACCATAAACTAGCGAAATAACATTTAAGTTTATAAATATTAATAATAAAATGTGTTTATATAACATGGTTAGATGATTTTTTTTTTTCGATGATATTTTTTAAAATTAAGGCGTTTATAGGACTTATTTATATAATTTATGAATAATGAAAGTAATATACATTTATTCTGATACAGTATATTAAAATATCGTGTAACAGCATCGAGGTATTCGTTGGAAAAGAAATTTAAAAACAGACTAACGAACAAAATGTAAAATCTAATTATAACTTTGAAGGGTGCGCTTGTTTTTTTGTTTTACTAATTTTAAGACCGGTCACAGTGAAATTTTGTTTACAAGAATACAAAAAAAAAAATAATGACATAAGAAAGTTTGTAAATATATGTAATATTGTAATATATATTATATATATAAAATCGAACTATAATTATTCTTTTAATTCATATCAATATTTTATTATTTGATAAAAATATTTATTCAGTTACTATTATTAAAATAACCGGTTTTTTTAAAATTTTTTTTCGATGCTCTTAATACGTTAAAAAAAAATAATATATATAAAGAATTTTTTTTGGAAATGGCAAAGTTGAAACAATACGCCCAATTCTTCAAAAGGATTTAATGAAAATATTCTTGCAAATGAATGTTAGATTTTGGCAGGATACAACGGATCTCCCGGGATGTAAACTCCTGTTACATTTATAAAAAGAAAAATTATTTTCGTGAGACATAACGAGGCAATTGAAGTAAATGATTACTAAATAAAAAAGGAAAACTTTAAAGAAGTCGGAAAGAGATAAGTACGTAACATTCAATCGTGGACGACTACAAATGGTAAGTTTAAATAAAGTCAGACCGTCTGATCATTTTTAATTTTTTTTTTTAATGGAGTAAGGAATCCGGAAATTGATTAAATCTCATCAGTTTCTTATCACGCTTTTTTTCATGAATGCTATCATAGCATAGCTTATCGGATTTTTGTTTTATTATTTTCTTAGTAGAAATGACAATTTAATTTAATTTATTAAAGGTATCTTTCAATCCTTTTATTCTCTCGTACGGAAATTAGCATGTGAATTATTCATATTATTTTGCAGTGTTGTGATAAGCGGAAAAAGAAGATATGACAGATTCACAATTCAAATGAACACAACCAGAATACTACATAGTGTAATGCATTCAATATAGTTTTGCTGTATACGAAAATCTAATTTCGTTTTAGAAATGATGATCCTTTAGGATTTTTTTTTCCGAAATACAAAATGTTTGTAACACAATTTAAATAGAAAGATTTGAGAATGAACGCCAAATAAGGTTAAAAGCCTGATAAGGGTTTTTACTAAAAATGAGATTTATTAAATGATTTCATTTGATCATTATTTGAAAAAAAAAATAATTTACACAAGATTCCACGCAAGCATCTGCGCGACCGTATTACAAATTACGATTTCGGTTACTTTTTTAAATAATCGAATTTTCTCTTAAAAATAAACGATGACCTATAATAATCATCCACTACTAATCGTTAGATTAATTTCATTGTTCCAAAGGTGTTCTTTACACATGAAAATTTTTGAGAGTTGAATGTATATAATGATGATTATATTATTGTAATAATCTAACGAGATTTATTGAACGTTTTTTTGCTTAAAAATGGCTAATTTTAGATTTTATTCATTATTTGATCGATCTTTAAAAATTATTTTTGTTTTTAATACGTCTCTTATGCTATTTCATTTGAATCACACGTATATACAGCATGGTACATATAAGACGGCCTTTTTTGGAATTTGAATGAAAGGTTTAAAGGTAATTTCGTAAATGAATGATCATTTTCGGAATTCTGGCAAATTTTCCTAAATGATTATAAGTATTTGGTATTATTAAAAGATCATCATCGATTTTAAAGATAATGTACAGTATCGAAAAATTTCGGTGTATGTAGGTAGGGTGAATATTGTAAGTAAAGATGATTCAATGAGATTTTATAACGGAAAATAGAAAGAACTAAGAAGCAATAATTGCTCAAAAGTGGAAAGAAAAGCTCCGGAGAAGAAATCCGAAAATAATTAGATTAAGGTTTGTTATGTTTTACAATTTTTTGCAGCACCTTATCCTATTACATAATTTTAGAAGGATGATGCGTTTGAGATCCGGAAGATTTGCATATGAATTATATTTGAATAATCATAATTTTTTCTGAAACAATACCTGTAGTATGTATATATATTAATATACTGTATTTAATATTGATCTACATTTAAATTGTTTATATTGTTTTTTTGAATAATAACTGTTACACAAGATTATATTTTGCAATGACAACCTAAATTTGGTTTGCCATTAAAAAAATTGATAGACTCTTACCAAAATTATCGATCATTTGAAAAAATTCGTTTCAAATAATTCATTCGCACATTCGCATATTCCATTATTTTTACATGGATTTTTTTAAAAAAAGTAGGTGACATTTGCATAATAGTGCAATAATTAAATAATGCGAGTAAATTCTAACAATTAATAACAGAAATTTTTTTTTTTTTTTTTTTTATACCTTTTAAACTTATATATAAACTTTTTATATTTCTTTTAGATCATGGTTATAGTATTTTACATATCAATACCACAATTCCTAAAATTGGTGANAAAATTTTTTTTTTTTTTTTTTTTTTAGGTAAACTCATTCGCTCAGTAAAAAGAAATTTATCCGTAATTAAGAATTGTCGAATTGTCAGAGAACGAAAAATTTTTTGAACCTTTTTCTATCTTCCCTTATTCTACCATCTTGAAACTACTATTGGCCAAACTTTAAATCTTCATAGTCTTCATATTAAGATTCTTTTCTTTTTAGATATCAAAGAAATATAGCTTTTGAACAGTTATTCTTTTATTTTTCTACATTTTAATGACTGGATGAAATTTATGATCACCGCGTTATTATAATTTTCCCAAAGAAAGATGAACGGGATTAGTGTTTAGGATTAGTTAGAAGTTTAACTGTTGCATTTGTTTTTGAATGTCGGTGAGCGGTCAGATACAAGTATAAAAAAGAAGAAAAGTTTCCAATTTATTAAATAATTCATCTTTGGTTCTTAACAATTCAATAATATATAATCTCAAATTAAAAAAAAAATCTGTTTTTTATATATATATCATTATAAATTTTGATTCAAATAACAAATAACACCGAGTGCAATGATGTTAGCACGTTAGCACCATAATTCTTGCTCACATCAGACGGATCCCTTAAATAGTCAAATACTGGCTTTACCCGGTTTGCTGTAATAATGTTTTATATAAGTAAGTTGTAAGATTTACCAAAATTTTACACTCATTTACTATCGTACTACTTTATGATGGCGTGCGGAAAAATAGCTATAGAATAAAAGAAGATTCTTAACAATAAAGTCACATACTTTAAGTATAGTCGACGCTTAATATAATTTTTTTTTAAACTTACTTTATTTGTGCAGTATTTACGAATTTATTTTTGGGTTACCAACGAAAAAATAAATTTTTTTTATAAATTTATATAAATTCATAAAAAAACTTTTTTTAAAAAATAATTTGCACAAAAAAATTTCTTATTTCGCAGTCAATATGCGTCATAAAAGTTTTAAATATAAATGCGCCTTTGCATTTATATTATTTTAAATATTAATTCCTGCTCGCCAATTAACTTAAGGCACTTCAAAAACATCACCCGGTTCTTGTAAAACTGTTAAGTTAGTAATTGTTGTATGGGTCTTGAAAAATATGTAAGCGGCTGACAAAATGCAGTCATTACAATTCCGAAAATTGCCGATGATGAATCAAAATCTGTTTGATCGAGTTTACGCTTCCCTAATTTCTTGAAAGTATGCATCAAATATTAGTTTCACTCTAGACACAACAAATATAAATAATTATTAGCGTTACCTCTTCATGGTATGATGGCTTGGGCTATTTATTCTCTTAAGAATATCTTTCATCTTGGCTTCGTTAACCAGCACTGCAATGTCACCAAATAATCCACAGGGCCATAACCGCGAGAACCATTTAAATTATTTTCTACAAATAATTGTGCCGAACTACCACCTAGCGTGTCAATCCATTCAGAACCGCCGAAGTTCTCTCCTAATGAACCACCTAAGTTACCTCCTGAAATACCACTAAAGGTGTCAGCGGAAGTACCAAAAGGAGTGGCTAACAGAAGGACAGTCGAAAGAAATAAGAAGGTATAGAAACACCAACACCTCCTGTGAAAATACAAAATTGATAACAACTAAACAACAGCTACATCATACTACGCTGGATATTCCCTTCCGATTGTTTTCCGATTTTTTAAATATACACTTTCGTTTATTTTCATTGTATATTTTATTACCGATTGTTGGGAATTCGCTATTTATTTTTCCGTTAACTACTACCAAAAATTGGTGGTAACTGAACATGATGGCGCTTGCAGAACCTTTGATAAATGAGATATTGTCTATTTTGTTTATCAATTCTCAAAATAAATAAAATAAATAATAAACTTCTTCAAAAAAATATTATTATACATTTACCCATTCTCATATTAACATCAATACATCAAATAATATTAAAATTACAAATAACTAGAAATGATGACTATTAAACGCCCTAAAGCGTTCACAATTTAAGTTTTTTTCCAAAGAGAAATTCAATTTATTTTAGTAATTTTCAGTGTACGCGCAGAGTGCACATTATTCATAAATATTTTGCGCATAACCTATGAAGTCATATGCGTTCTTATATAAAATAAAATAATAGTAAGCACATGTACGGACTGCAGAATTTTACTAATTATTATAATTGTGACAAAATTTTATATATCTTGATAATTAGGGTAAATAGTTAAAATAATATGTTACTATCACGTGTGTGTAAAATCATGTGGGAGACAACATTGCTTCGGACAATAATAAGTTGTTCTGAAATTTAAAAATAAACTAAAATTTCTTTAATTTAGTTCATAACTTCATATTATTCCAATATTAAATAATGTATTATCCATCTAATAAATAATGTCAAAGTTTCTTGACCTTTTCTATATAAATAAGAAGATAATTGACAATTTTTGCCTGATCATAATGAAACAACAATATCATATTCATTGCTAAACAAAAGTTGATCCGTGTTTTGTTTCCCATAAAGGTAACATATTCATGGAATTTATAATGAATTTTCTAATAATATAGTAAAATTCACAAATATAACCATACTAAAAATTACATATATATATATAATTTACTAATTTCCTATGATTCTACAGAATTTTTAATTAAATATGGGCAATAATTTATTACAAAAAAGCTATTCATTACTATTCTAATGTTAATGCACTGTATTTTTTAGCATCATAATTGAAAATTGTCACGGGACAGGTTACAAGATAGAATCTAAAAAATTTAATTCTTTACGGTCTTTAATAGAAGTCAAAACAATATTATCAGTTATGGTATTTAGAAAAGTTCTTTTATCATACGCTTAAAGTAAAAAAAAGTTACTGTATAGTCTTGATTGGACTAACCGAAAATTAGTTAACCAATCATACATTGACCCATAACAAAAACTCATTGTTTTTCTAAGATGGCCTACAATTATAAAAATATGTATACATATATTCTACATTTTTATTTTTTTATCAGTTATTTCAAATATCTGAAAATAATATTATGGTAACTCATCTCTATTAAAGAAAGCTAAATCTTTGATAAACCTCAGAAAGTTTTTGAAGAATGTTATAAAAGGAGAATACTTTGATTTTTTATTTATTAATTATAACTATAAGATGAATACAAATTTCAAAGAGACCAGCCAGAGAACTTGATGAATAACATGTACCAGAAATTGTAATTATTTTTTATTTACTTTTTTTTAACTGTTGTTAGTTTTATTAACTTTGGATGGTTTTAAGTTTAACATACTTCCAGGTTTCAAAAATGTATTAAATGATGAAAGTTGGATTATAAAATTCTGTAAGGATCTTTTTTTTTCTTGTCTGATTAACAATATAAGTTATATTTTATCTTTGTATATTTGAAACATATTAATGTTACTTATACTAAATATTTCCAATAATAGCAAAAATTGAAATGAACATTGCAAAGACCATAAAAAATAGTGCATTATCATGTTCTTTAGTTATGGAGGCATAAGAATATACAGTATCATTTAATAGTCAGGCCTTTTTCATATCAAAAAGACAAATCCAACAATATTCTAGAACAGGTGGCAAATAGATTGGTATCATTATGAGATCCTTACAGTTAATGTAAAATATGAAGCAATTCTTACACATTCTTGAGACATTAAAATCTTATGGTTGATAATAATAAGCATGATTCAATTTAGGTTGTGATGTCATATTTACTTGACCTTATTAGACCCATTATAGTAGAAGGTGGCGTCATAATAGAAGACATTTAGGATCTCAGAGATAATTTTTATATTATTATATTTTTAATTTTTATATTTTTTATATTTTTATATTATTATATTTTTATATTAGAGAAAAAAAAATATTATTAAAACAAATATGGCAAACAAAAAAGATATGATCATTCCCCAGAAATCAGTGAAACTGATGACAAAAATCCTCATAAATGTAAGATCAATATTTACGATCTGATATCACAGGAAAACAAGTTACATTGATATTAATAATATTTCAATTGAGATTGGGGAAAATAAACTAACGAATAAAAGAATATATCATGGCTATTTACAATCACATGATGACCGGAAGAAGCCATTTCGAGTTTTGGGAGAGAACGGCAAGGAGGATATGCAAAGATTTAGGTTTTCGTTACTCTGCTTGACAATGCGAGCAGAGGTTCTGAAATTTGGTTTAGAATTTTAATGTTAGTATGTCCGGAATGTGACCAAAAGTTTAATGCATTTTATTATTTTTAAGCATAAAGTAGTTGAAATTCAATGCAAATTGTAAATATGAATTCAGATTAATTGAATGGATTAAATATTCAAATCTTGAAAATGTTGAATTTGTTGCTAATGGTGGGTTGGAAAGTGTACATAATTCTGTTTAATATATAGCTTGTTAGAAGATATCATAAAAATTATTTCGATCTAATGAAGATCTCTGGGCTATCCATTGTTATGATACGTTTTTTGTTTTTTATATAAACCCTTTTATCATTAGGATAAGCAATACTTTAAAATCTGGGGTATCGGACGTACACGCCATCATTTTATGATCGGTGATTTCCATGATGAGCTGTCAGACGAATTTTGGTACAAATGGGTAATTATTCAATTAATTAATTTTTTATTTAACCAATATATTTATTTGTATTATCTATTTTTTAGGTCGGTACCAGGCAGCTCATCGAAGAAATAACGCTGATAGATGTAGAAATGAAAATATTATTTAACAGTCATTAAAAATTATGATTAATAATGATCTTTCATGATCAGACTTGTGTTCAATATATGGACAAGAAACACTAAGAGACATCATAAACAAACAGAACATGAAGAAGCCTACAACTTGTGATCATCTCAGAAAAACTTCAGAGCATCCAATTTATATCTTACTAGGAAATATACCAAATTGGCAGTGAAATAAGCCTTATGTTAAAGTGCTTATTGGTTATTTACCAAAATTGAAAGCAAAAGATAGCATTACAAGGAAGAGTCAAACAACCAAAGTTCAAAAATTATAATCAGAAAATTATGTATTTTTAAGCACTCTAAGATGGAGCGACCGTGAGGTGCCAAGCTCTAAAATTGTGGAAAATCTAAAATTAAAGAAGTCGACAAAATGCAAACAGAAAATGCAAGACTCCAGTGTGAAAATAACTAATTATTTGATGAGAATTGCTTCTTAACCCAAATCAACACGACTTTCGCAAATGAAAAATGATGAATTACGCTGACAATTTTGTAGTTAACCATTTTTTTATGATGATATGATACAAAAGTGAGATATGTCTGCAATTTTTCTATGACAGTAATGTCCACATGAAATGAGTATTAATGCTGCACGGATTTCCTTTCGTTAGAACTTTAATTATGTTGTGTGTGATAATGTTTCAGAGGAAGATGTACAAGCTTACGCCTGATTTGCTTTTTGACAAATCCATAAAAAAAATTTTTTTTCATTTGACATTTAAAAAAAAGTAAAATTTCAAACAATCATAAAGTATAAGCTGTATTATTAGCTAAGAAGTTTTGTGCGAAATGGATTACTTTTGTTTAAAAATGTAATATTATATATAAAAAAGATCTCTAACTGCCACAAAAATGTCAATTGAATCTTTATTAACAAAGAAAGATCAAATGTTGCAAGATATTTGAGTTCCTGTAACTTACGATAAAGAAACACAAATTGACAAGAAATATTGGTAATCTTGGTTTAATATTTCTATTTTGACCTAAGTTGACGTTAATCGAGTAATTAACCGGTTAACCGGTTAAGATATATCTCAAAATTCGATAAATTATCTAAATCATAATTCTGATAAATTCTGATCAAAGATTTGAAATTTCGGTCACGTGAACTCCAAACTCGAATTTTTAATAAATGAATTAATGACTACAACTAAACATATGAGTGCTCTATTTCCTGTATTACCTCTCAGTTTCGTCTATATATCAAAAACAACTAAATATATGAGCAAAAACAAATAGAGCAAAAAAAAAAATTAATATTTCTTCAATATTAATCAATTTGGTCAGGTTCAATTTGTTTAGTAATAAAGGCAGGTCTTAATATGTAACCAAAATAATTTAATCATCAATCCGAAACAAATGTCTGATCTAACCTTCAGAAGATAAATTGCATATCATTCGGAATTTTCTAAGTGCCATTATATTACTAAATTCATTAAATTCATTAAAATTTTGGATTGGTATCGACTCGATCCAATTTTACTAATTTGGATCGAGGAGTTCTATCCAATCCAAAAAAATTCTATATTTAGAATTTTGTAAATGAAATATTTATATTTTAATATGAACAATGACAGTTTTAATAGATATTAGTGACTAATGCAAAATTATCTACAGTTTTAATGACCAACATCCAGCATGCATACGAAGGTTTTCATTGTCAAACATGCAGATCTACATTATTATTGTGTTTTGTGAAATATTGCTTATTCGTACACAACATGCATTAATCGGAAAAACCTCATAGTGTGGAAATAATGAAACAATACATGAGGATATAATCATTGATAAATTGTGAACAAAAGCAAAAAATTTTTTTATCAAATTATTTTAGTGTATTCTCTAAATAAATGTCGGACATCTTGAAATACGTTCCGATAGGTACCCCTATTTACTTAACGATACTAATTAACTCGTTTAGTCTTTTACGATGCGGAAAACCAATTCTACTATACTTGTATATTATTATACTTTTATTTATTTTTAATTATTTAAAGTATAATTAATAGCCGTATTTCGTAGTTTTTTAAAGAATTGCTGCATATATTTCGAGCAAATACGCAATTATTTCATATTCAAAAAGACGTGTTCTGTGAAATACTGCTTACTCGTACACAACATGCATTGCAACGGTCAAATCGGAAAAACTTCCTCATAATGTGGAGAATAATGAAACAGATATAATCATTAATAAATGTGAATCACAAAAGCAAAAATTTTTATTAAATTATTCCATTTATTTCTTAGTGTATTCTTAAATAAATGTCGGACATTTTGAAATACGTTCCGATAGGTGCTGCTATTTACTCAACGATACTAATTAACTCGTTTAGTCTTTTACAATGCGGAAAACAATTCTATTATACTGTATATTATTATACTTTTATTTATTTTTAATTATTTAAAGTATAATTAATAGCCGTATTTCGTAGTTTTTAAAGAATTGCTGTATATATTTCGAGCAAATACGCAATTATCTCGTATTCAAAAAGACGGTTTCATTATCTGTATATTATTATTAGTCATCAGATTAACGCAAATAAATGTCTATTGTTTAAAAATAGATTCCATTAACTATTCATACTAAAACAGCTAACAAAGATTTTCTAAATATCGAATACGTTGCTGTTTTGACGAATTCGAATCCACTTCGATGTACTTTTAACATAAATCATATGAACAAATTAAATTTAATGCGGAAAAACAAATCCATAATTTGTAAGTTTATATATTCGAGAAATGATGCTGCGCATGGTTCAATATTAATATAAAAGCAGCCACAATTTGGCCAAGGTCCCAAGGGATCCCATATGCTAATAATAAAATTAAGTTTTTAATTATGATTATGATATATATATATATATAAGATGGTTAGTTAAATTCAAAACCTCAATAATTATCTATTTTGCTGTTTTGTATTAATTAACTCTTCGCTTCATAATTTTTCAGTAAAATTTTCGATTCTCGTGTCGCATAATTTTTCGATATCGTTATACGTATTTTCGAAATTGTACGTATTTTCGAAAGCTCCGTTTTATATGGTGATTTACCTTATGTAGCCTCATTATACTCAAGCCGCAAATGGCGAAAATAATGATGATACTACATTATTTTTCTTCGTTTTTTTTTTATTTTCTTTACATTATCTTTTACTATTTTTATCTGGTATTATATTTCTTTTCTTCGTTTAAGGGAAATTTTTAAATCGAAAAATTCCCAATATAAAAATTTTTGTTGTTTGTCGTATTTTTATTTATAATCGCATAAAAAAATATCACATAATTTATATTATGTCGTGTGTTCATGCGAGAATCACTTTAGGTAATTCACATAGACTCCGTTCTATTTAATGATTTTCGTTAACATGAAATTAGCATATTTTCGTGTTTGAACGTTTTTAAATAACATTTTATTATAATACCATTCTTATAAATGATAATGTTTGAGTAAATGATGGTTATAAAAAAGTTGAAATTTAGTTTCAATTAAAATTTCCTTTCTCATTTAAATTTATTTACTAAAAGATGATGTGAAAAATAAAAGTTAATAAATGTTGCTCCGACTCGTTTGTGCATAATTTCGTCCAAAGGCATCATAATGCCGCTCAAAATCGCATAATGCGAACCAGGCGCTTATTTTCGAAATCTCCAATTTATTAAATTTTCTTGTAGATTAATTTTGATTTTTTTTATTTGTTTGATACACCTTAACACAAAAAGATAATTCATTATTGAAAATCAATAAATAATATGATAGTTAAACGTAAAAAAAATTCGGTAAAATAAAATCTAGAAATCTAGTTAATTAAGTATTACAGTGGAACTGATAAATTAATTAATATTATTTTCGTACGATTAGTATAATATTTGATTTCTTATTTGAACTTATTAAATATTACAGATAATTTTTTGCTTCCTATATTTATTAACAAATAAAAAAACAATTAGTAATTATTTAAAATACTTTAGGGTTAATAATAAATATTTACCTTCAAAAATATTACTTAATTTTGATATTTTCTTATTACTTGGTTTGAAATAAACTATTAAAAAAATTGTTAATTTGTTATTATACGCAAAAAGTTGATATATTTTTTAATCATGTTATTACCTGATTTTTTAAAATCATCAACTAGTAGTTGGAAGAAAAGAAATTGATTAATAAATAATATATAATAATAATTAGAAAGATTGTAATAATACTTACTGTTATTAGGTATACTAAAATTACAAGGTTTGCTAAGTAATACTTTTAAAATTTTATTAAAAGATAGATATTAAAGATATTAATAACTTATATAATTCAATCAATCAAATATTAGAATATACAAAATATTATATTACCTTCTTGTTCTTCTATATTATTTAAACAAATTTTAATATTCGATTTTTAAATTAAAAATTTTGTAAATATATATAAAAAAAATTATACAATCAAACAAACATACCTTCTATTCCATTTCTCGGTTCGGGCAAATTTTCAAATTTATAAACTTTGCTTGTAAATAATCTACTACTTGTCGTATAATTAGTCGCGATGCTAGTCTTTTTATCAATTTCTGTTAATATCATATTAATATTACTATTATTATTAAATTCATTTTTAATTTCCTTTATTTTATTCTTAAGATCACTAATTTTAGGTCTTTTTGTAGGATCAGCATCCCAACATTGTTTTATTAATTCTTTATATTCTAAAGGAGTTCCCGGTATTATTTTTGGTCTCTCTCCATTTATTATTTTCACTGCAAGATCCCAATCATGGTCAAGATCAACAAAAGGCGACCTTCCAGATGAAATTTCCCACATAAGTATACCAATACTATAAATATCAGATGCGAAAGTGGTTTCTTTTCCGGAAATAACTTCTGGTGCTATGTAAGGTAGGTTTCCATATGTACTATCTAATGGCTTATCAGCAGGTCCACAAAATCCCAAATCGCCAATATAAAACTTTTGATCAAATTGTGAAAATAATATATTACCAGAATGTATATCTCTATGAACCGCTAACTCTTTATGAATTCTGGAAAGTGCATATATTATATCATCAGCAATTTGAATCCGTTCTTTCCATCTAAGTTTATCATGATTTTTTTCTAAATATTTTCTTAAATCTAAATCCATTTTATTCATTACAAGCATATAATTTCCATCTGATGGATCTTTTGTTAATCCAAAACATTGTACAATCTCCCCATATTTATTACTTATAGTTAAATGAGATTTACCCTATAAAAAAATTAAAAAATAAAGATATTATTAATTAAATAATTTTTTCAAAGTAATTTTTTAATAATTTAATTAATTATATACCTCATCAAACCAACTCCTATTAGCACTTTCAATATTTTCTAATTTTTTAAGTATTACTTTATGAGATCCAAATCTTTTTAATTGTTTTTCTTTAGAATTCCATTCAACATAATATCCATCAACCCAATCCGCTGTATAAATTTTAGAACAACCGCCTTTAGTTAAATATTTAATATTTTGAAACCTATCATATGAGATCCATTCTATTATCTTATCCGGCTTAAGCGTTTCCATTTGACATTTTCGTATTAAATCATCAACGTCATCATTTCCGGATTTCCAATTTGAAAATTTTGATTTTAAATAATTTCGAATACAATGTTCACAATATAATGTAGCTAAACAATCTAAAAGACAATTTTCACAATTTCTTTTTGTACCATTATTTAAAAAAATCTTATAATAATCAAAATCATTATTTAATAATTTTATTGCTCTTAATTTTTCATTTTCCGTAAGTATTTCATCATCGAGAATAGTTTGTTGTAAAAAATTATATTGTTCATCTATATTATAATGAATTTTATAATTTATTAATGCATATGCTTTATTATATGCGTTATGAACTAATTCTTCACGAATAATATCCATAATGAAAAAATAATTTTAATCCGGTCAAAAATTTTTTTTTTTTTTTAAAAAAAAAAAACGGTTGAGTGTGATTTTATATGGTTTTTTTTCGTGGTACAACGATGTTATTTCATCATTGTTTACGAATGTACAAATGTACACTTAGTTACCTATTTTTACAATTTTTGTCCGACATTCATATCATTCATGTAATGAATCACAAAAAACACCCTTTTTGTGACATGTCGCATATTTTCCCCTATATCTCTTTCATCATTTAGTCAGCCAGAAAATTTTTATTGGTTAACGGTTAAATTAATTAAATTGACCAAGTATTCTATTTTTATAAACATCACAATTATGACGATTATGGAAATACATACATTTAAGAACAAATTATAAATACTCTCTTTCTTATTTTACCTTAAAATTCAAATCGTTTTGTAAAAAAGAACAAAATTTTAAATTATTTTTCTATGACATCGTTCTCTACAAAAATCTTGGTCGCACGCAATAAATTTACGGCTTAAAATACAATCGACCGCACCAATTGAAAAACTTTTTTCTTTCTTAAATAATTGACTTCAATAAAACGCATTCTCTATCGATTTTTTCTACTCATTTATCAAATTCTTGAATTAATTCGTCTAATCGATAGTTGGACTATATAAATTTTCGAAACGTTGGCAGTTGGCTTTCAACTGCGGCCAATGAATTTTCGATAAATTACTACTAGTATAGATTAAGTAAGGATTGGCGTTTGGATTTTTGGCCATTTTGACTACCGAATATTTCTACGATCGAAGTAGTTTGATAAGCTGTATATCGCAATGACGTACGTTTCCCAAATTATACATTCCCTTCGTTGGCCAACCATTCTACATAGGGATGGTTAGGTCGGTCCTGGTCCGGTCCTGGTCCTGGGACCTATAAGTCCTATTGAACGGACCTGCGGACCAGGTCCTGTTAGGACCAGTCCTGGACCTGG